TATTAACAGTTGTGAGATTGTTCAGTCAGATGGCACATGCCTTCGGTGTTGAGGGGCTGTTGACAGCAGATACTGGTGAGAGAATGATGACAGTCTCTTAGGAGAGACTCATGAGAATGATCCCAAACCAAAAAAGTGTGTGAGGGCTTGTCCCTCTTTGCATCAGCTCCTGAAGTGTGTTCTGCCTGTGGTATTGCTGTGTATAAAAGCTTTCTTAGTTCCCGTCATTCTCCTCAGTAGCAAGTCAACAGTTGAGCCAGAAAAAAATAACTCCTTTTCACATCTATGCTTTTCTGAAGCAGGTAGCCAGAATGAGTATGGACACCGATTGGTTACCCCAACACCCCACTACTGTTCTTCAGATGTGACAGTGTGAAATAACCAAGGGAGAGGTATGGTGGCAACAACAGATGCTGCTTTTTTTTAATCTGAAGCAGAAGTCCTTCAAAGGAAAGAGAGTGTAGTTGTTGAATAAGGCTGATTTGAAAACTTTTCAAGTTTTCTAGCTGAATGGCCTGCACTGTACTTGCACTTTCTGTTTCAGCCACATTAAAGTTTCCCAAGCAGTAAGGATCCTCAAGCCTAATTTGCCCTCACTCTCTTTCCTGACTACTTGACTCAACTTGTATGTAAATCTCACCCATGGATATCTAGACTTTCATGGTCTATTGTAAGGGTTAAACCACACGTCTGTCTAACTATATTGCTTCCCCTAACTTTTTTATGTAACTTTTTTTAATTACTTGATTTAATTATTCTTGATATTGTATCATTCAAGCTAATGTATTCAGTTCTAAAACTTGATTGTTTTTGCTGATTGTTTAAACAAATATAAGGTTGTTACAAAGTTCATGGACAATTAAAAGATGAGTTAATTTTTTTATTTTTATGTAAGGAGTCTTCAGAGTTCATGAAAAGTATGTATTTTGAAAGAAAAAGCTGCCTGGATTTAAAAATTGTTTTGTGGTAAAGCATACATCTTTTAATTCCATTTTCCTATGGACTTTTTAAGTACCCTTGTATATATATCTTATTGTGTAATGTTATCTCAGGAACTTAGATGATAATTGGTGAGAAAGTCTTAGAGATTTTTCAAAGTGCAGTTCAAAGAAAATATGTTTAAGTAGTAGAACTTAGCTAAAGATGTGTTACATTGCAAGTTCTGCTTTGATGGGGTTATACAAATGTTAAATTCCTAAGCAATTTTCTTTTTCTCAAGTAGTTTCACCTTCAAAAATCTACTTTTTAAAAGTCTTGTGAAAGTTGGAGTAGTTACCTGAAATAATTAAAATTTTGCTTAAATTTTAAATGTGGTGAATGAAATGCATTTATGACAAAGAAATCTAAATGTAAATAGGTGTTTTCACAATAAATCATATTTATTGTTTCTTAATCTATATAATAACAAAGAAATAGTGAATTTTGGGACTAAGAAAAGGCGTAACTGAGATTACAAAGTTGAATAAAATAAATAAGACATTTGTAGAACATTGTTCTCAGCTAACTAGAACTTGGGAATCTGAGTTCACAGTATAATACTCTATTTAAAAACTTACTTCTGCAAATTACAGGGCTACTATTTATGGATAATTGTAGCTATTTTAAATTTTGCCTAAAAGATATTAAAGATAAATTCTCCAGTGATACATTAAAAGTAATCATTTGAATTCTTGTTTTTAAAAGTTTTTCGAAAACGTACCTTTTCACTGACTTTCCGTTGTTGCTGTGGACTCTCCAGTGGTGTTCTTCAAATGGCGGGTTTTTCTGTTAAATATTGGCAGTGATAGCTATCTTTATGAGAACAGAGAGTATATTTAGTACAACACAAAAGATACTGTTTGGCTCTTGGCAGAAATTAGAAAGTTGAAATAGATGGCAATTTGGATAAGTGGAGTTCATGAAAGAAAATGAAATTCAGTCAGTAAAAGAATACATTTAGGACTGAAAGTAACAACATGTTTCCATTTGAAGATGAAACTCATGTAACTGGTAAAGGTGATTGTTTGGGGTTAGATATTAGATATCCCACCCTGCACTCTCCCAGTCTGTGTGTTTAAGTCTTAACTCCAAGTATCTCAGTATGGAACTTTATTATGGAAATAGTGTCACTCCTAATCCAATATGACTAATGTCCTTATGAAAAAGAAACATCTGGACACAGAACTGATTAGGGGATAATGTTGCAAGAACACAGATGTGGTCATTTACACAATGAGAGAGGTTTGGAAGAGAACCTTCCCTCTTGTCCCTCAGAGGAAGCCACTTTAATTCAGATTTCAAGAGGCCCTAGAGCCTTGAGATAAAAAAGGTATTTACTTTATTTAAGTCCCCATTTTTGTAGTACTTTGTTATGGTAGCCTCAGCAAGCTAGTACAGTTACTTCACAGGATAAAATGTCAGTTTACTACCTCTAGTGAGTTTTGCTAGCATACAGAAAAAAGGTGCTGCTGAGGATAAAGGTATCCTAATCCATTGCTGGGAATGTAAACTAGTGTAAAAACCACCATGGAAGTCAGTAGGAAGATTCTTCATGAGAATAGATTTCATGACATGACCCAATCATCCCATATACCCAAATGGATTCTGTATATGAGAGTTACTCTAATGCCTTGTTTATAGCACTAAGTTCACAGTAGCATCTGGATTGGAGCATGTTCATTTCTGTTTTAACAAATTCTTTAAGATTTATTTTCGGTGCCACGTAAATCATTTTGTAGCATGCTATTTTACTTCCTGTTGTAAGTGTTCTATCTTTCATGCTGCTGTTCATATTGTTTTATGGCTTTTTATTTAAATGAATGTGTAGTAACTGTGTAATAGACTATCCTATCCAGATATGAAGACACAATGCAGCATGTATCTCTACTTGCAAATCAAGGATGGACTCCCAGTGAACTGTTAAATATATCTTGACAATAGGATGCTGGACTCTCTGCCATTGTGTATACCTACAGTATCAGGATACACTTAAATGGCAGATTGATGGACTTAATGGCTGTTCATGAAGGACTGTACATTGAAATTATAGAGGGGAAGCTGTCGAGGTGGAACTTGAGCGGGGAGGGGATGGATGGGGGGAGGAGATATCTCAGAGCCTATAGAACTGTATCATCATCATCATCGTAAAAGGATTGTTTGGGGGGGGGGGTGCATATGGATGGTGTGGTGGCTCAATAGCTTAACTTTCCACCTGCAAGTGCCAGTATCCGCTCTAAGCTCTGTTCATGTCCCGTTGCTCCATTTCTAGTCCAGCTCTCTGCCTGTGGTCTTGGAAGGTAATGATGAATGGCCAAAGTTGTTAGGACCCTGCACCCACATGGGAAACCCTGAAGAAGCTCCTGGCTTCTGACTTCAGATCCACACAGCTTCAGCCGTTGTGACCATTTGGAGAATGAACAGTGGATGAAAGATCTTTCTCTGTCTTCTTCTCTGTAAATCTGCCTTTCCAATAAAAATAAAATAAGTTAAAAGATATTTATTTATTTACTTGTTTTGAAATTCAAAGTTACAGAGAGAGAGATATTCTATCTGCTGTTTACTTGCCATATGGTCAGTGCTGGACCACATGGAAGTTAGGAGCCTGAAACTTCATCTGTGTCTCCTGTGTGTGTGGTGGCGACCCACACACTTGGGCCACCTTCCTCTTGTTTTCCTAGGCCATTATTAGTAGGGAGTTGAATTGGAAGTGAACAGCTGGAGCATTTGGCACCCATATATGGAATACTAGTGTTGGCAGCAGTTCTATAGCTTATTTGAATGCACACTAAGAGTGCAACTTCTTCTTGCCAAGGAATGATTTAAAAAGCAGAAAACTGGTGGTAAATGTATTGATACTGATTGTGGGTATACATCTGAAAAATGAGTAGAGATGTGATAGAACAGTATGTAAAACATCACATGTACCGCCCAAAGTAGAAATAATGTAATTTTAAAATGAGAAAATAGGATCAATTGGCAAAGAAACTAAAATCAGTTAATTCATATGTGTGTAAAGGTATAATGAATGGCTAAGGTAGCCAGGAGTGTAACTGAATTTGATGTGGGGTATGATCACGAGCTGAAGGAGATTTCTAAGACTACTATCTTGGTACAACTGAACAAGTAGAGTATGGAAAGTACATTGGATGATGTATTACATGAAAACTAACTTGAACTTGTAATTACAATGGAAATATTTCTTTGACAAGTATGTGCTTATGATAGGATTAAGTGGCTTAATATAATGAAACTTATACTCCAGCATTTCACAGAAAGTGATTTATATTTGAGAAAAAGTGACAAAATATTAAAAATTAGTGACTATGTAAAAATGAGATTTTTGTATAATTCTTATGCATTTAACATAAGCTTTAAATTATTCCAAAGTAAAAAGTTAAAATTTTTTACTCATTAAGAAATAAGTTGCTTAGTTGTTTCAGCTCCCTATTATATAGATTTGTTAAATATGTTTGGATAAAATAGGTTTCCACTTCTTTAAAATATTCTGTACTTTGTATTTTAGTGTTTAACAGTGGTCATCTTGGCAAATTTAATGATGAGACACAGTTGTGACTGATGTTGTCTTTGTCTCCGAATGCCAAATTATGGTAAAAATTGTTAGATGTAAAAGCAAATTTTGATGCTAAATATTAATAATGAAATGATTTTATGATTCTTAATGTTTTTGAAATGATAATTGCCACTTACCAATAAAGTGCGAGTTAAAGCTAACTGGAGAGAAAAATAGTTTTTTTTTTTTCATCTTGAAATTCTGTGATAAAGATGTGGATAAAGCAGAAAAAAATTTTGCATTGAGCATTTTAAGCTTTTTTTTTTTTTTACAATATGCTGCATAATGCAAGTAAGTCTAGTTGTTCCTTTAAAATATACTAACACTCACAGTTCTGATATGAATGATCTTACTTAGGATAGAAATAATAAAGAAGAGTAGCATTCATTTATAGCAGCTTTATTCCAGTTATCGAGGTCATAATAAAGTACTGTGTTTTTCTTCTCTAAAGATATGGATGTCATGAGACCCTTGATAAACGAGCAGGATTTTGATGGCACATCAGACGAAGAACATGAGCAAGAACTCCTGCCTGTTCAGAAGCACTACCAGCTTGATGATCAAGAGGGCATTTCGTAAGTTGTGCAGCTTATAAGTTTCCATTTATTGTCTCTGATCATAGAGCGTGTAATTATCTTCTACAGACATGGAATTTTACTAGATTCTACAGAAGATACAAAGTGGATGAGATGTAGCCTTTGCCTTGGAGGAGTTAGTAGAGCCATGTGCATAACAAGAACTACAATGACATGCAGATGCTGTGGCTCTCTGCAAGTAACAGAAAGGTTGGAGAAGCAGCCTCTGATATGGCTGGATTTGGACAACTGGGAGTTAGTAGACACATGCTGAGTGAGTCAAGTTAGAAACAGTCAAAGGAAAGCAGTGGGGCTTTCTAAAAAACATTTCTGGTATTTTTGTTACTAATTGAGTTTGATTCATTTGTACTGTAACAATGACTTAATGAAGCAAAGTAACATGGAATTTAAGTGATCATAATAGGAGAGTATAAATTGAAGAAAAATTTAGGCAACCATTTTGTTTATTACATCTGAATTTTATGCTCTTCCTAATTCCAATTTATTTCTTCTTGGTAAAGAGACTTCCTTCAGTAGTCTCCTAGAAATTATTCCAGGTTAGCAACCGGGGGGGGGGAGAGGTTCATGATCTCTGAATATTAATTGTTTCTCTTACCTGATTATACATGCATATAGTTTTGAAGCCTATATTTTTATTTTATTTGGCTTTTTCTTTTAATTAACTCCCACTTATATTGATGACTGCATATCAGAAATATTTAGTACTGTGATTACATACAGTGTCAATAAATTGCTGAATTTTGTCAGCCTAATCTTCAACAGTGTTCTAAAAATTATCTACAGCGATGTTGTCTCATGAGAATTTTCTTTATTATTAATTTAGTGTTTGCAAAAATACTTTTCACTTAAATATCTAATTTCCACAGTAACTCTTTGTATGGTACTTTTGGTAGAAAAATTAGGGTTTGACTAAGTTTTAAATTTTTCTTTGGTGGAAGAATGAAAAATGCTACTTAGTTCCTTGCTTAGTTTAATTTTCAGTTTCCCTGTATACTAACGCCGTGAATATGATTTTGATAATTTTAGTTCTAAAATGACTAAGTTTCAAAACTGTTACTTTTCAGATTTGTCCAAACTCTTATGCATCTTCTTAAAGGAAATATTGGAACTGGCCTTTTAGGACTCCCATTGGCAATAAAAAATGCAGGCATAGTGGTAAGATTTATCTTTGTAATCTCCAATTATGACATAGTAATCAATTTCTAGCAAAACTTTTATAGGCTTGCATCTAGCTTGGTCAAAGATAACTGGGGGAAATTACTTTAGATAATCACTAAAGTATTGGCTATTGTATTGATAAAATTATGTGAGCTATATAGTAATATCTAGTGGAAAATAATTTTCTTGAATTTTTAAATTAGTTGTAATATTTGGTACATAAATAAGGAAACCCTTCCAGCCCTCACACAGTATTTAACTTTTTCCTGTATTTTGGTTTATCCAGGATTTGAACAGTAAACTCATAGTAATAAATGTATTTATAGAGAACTTCGTTTCTATTTTGAAACCCTATAGTTTTTAGACTCAGTGAAATATGAAATTTTCGCACTTAAAGAGTATAATTAAGAAATCAGTAGCATTATTTTTAAAAAATCAAATATTTAAGGCATAGAGACAATTATTTTGCTTATAGAGAACTTTAACATGGTAGAAATAATTTATAAAGTAAAAAAGTTATATTTAATTTCTAAATAGAACAGTTCTGAAAACATCACTTTTTTCAGAGGATGGTTGTTTTATTTACCCTAATTAGAGCACAGACATTTCTGAATATAAAAATAAACTGGCAATATATGTTTTAATTAATAAATGTTTAATGTACACGTTTTTAAATAATCATTTTGTAAATACAGTTATGAAACATTGTAAGTGTCCAACAGGTAGATTGCTCTCATTCCCTGTTTGATATTGTGCTTTTTTAATAAGCTCTTAAATAATGATGCACTGATACATACACTTATCATGGTGGCTTGCTACTTGTTGTAGAGTTGCCATTTTATGTTGTAGTCTGTCCTACTTTATTACATATACATATTTTGTATGCTTCAGTATAGGTAGCCACATTGCTAAAATGGAATAATACCTAGTAACCTTAATTATCATTTGAAATTCTTCTTATATCAAGTTTATTAATTTTCTCTTATGCAAATGACTGGCTATTTATACAAAAATTTATTCACTATAAATGAGTAATTCAGTGGTTCATTGCTTATAATATCATGTAAATTTTCTTAAGCTTAAATATTTAAACCTTATAAATTTTCTTTCCCACAGCTTGGACCAATCAGCCTCGTATTTATAGGAATTATTTCTGTTCACTGTATGCACATATTGGTACGTTGCAGTCACTTTCTATGTCAGAGGTAAATGTGGATTTGTTAAGTCTGGTTTTTTTTTTTTAGAGCTGTGTATTTATTTTGAGCACCAGATGTTCATATTTCTGCTGTGCTTTGTACCTAGAAGTATTTCCTTTAGCCTGTTATGGAGAGAAATCTAATGAATATGGAAGGGGTATCGTTTCATATGCTTTAGATATGGATTAAGATATTAATTTTTCAAAGGGTATTCTTATTAATTAAGTAGAATTTTCTTTAGTGCAAACAGAAAAATCATTAGACATAAAGGAAATGGAAGTAGACATGTTACTTTTAATTATTATATGATGATCTTTCATTTATTAGTAAATCAGTTTGGAATCTAATGCCTTGGATATGCCTTACTGATAATGTGATTTTACAAGCATCAATAAAATAATATTTTTTCTTTATTTTTGTATCATAAAATTAATTTACTTTTTAAAAAATATATTGCCTATTCTGATAGACCAATATTCTTGGTTTTATTCTTTTTCACTGTTATTAAATGCTGTTAAATCATTGGATAATTCGTAACAGTGAATGCCTGGGACCAGTATTGTGGCAAGCACATTAAAGTACTTCTGTGATTCTGTATTGTAACACTGGTTTGATTCCTTGCTGCTTTGCTTCTGATCCAGCTCCCGGCCAATGTACTTGAAATGGTACTCTCTCTCTCTTTTTCTCTCTCTTGTTTCAGTCCTTCCTCTCTTCCCTCAACCCTTCCTTGCTCAGCTTTTCAAATAAACAAATGAATCTTAAAAACATAATTGTATCCTTGAAAAAGAGGAGAGAGCGAGTGCAAGTGCATGTGCAAGCACTAGGGGTTGGAGAGAGAAAGAGTGAGATGAAGGGAATGGAAGAATAGTCACCTCATGGGCTGTTTTGAAGAATAAATGAGATATTATAAGTTACATATGAAACCCTATACAAATGGATTCTTAGCGCTGTTCTCACAATGGAATAGATTAGATATGAGCAATGTAGTTTATATTTTTAAGTATTTGAAGTGTGGAGATAAGTGCAACATTGGTTTAAAGTTGTATGATTCCTGCACATATATAAAACTTAGCAATAGATCAGGATAATTATCTTGAGAAGATATGACACAAGAAGGTCAGATGCAAAATGTAAAAAATGTTAAGGCATGTTTCAGGAGTGTGTGTATATCTGTTCATACATTGCACTGAATTTCTTATTCCTGGTTATTTCGTGTTCTTTTCAAGGGTTGGTTCATGGGCCAACTTAAAATTCTTTTTCCAACGTGTGAATGTCATTAAATTACAGGTTTAAAAAGCCAACACTGGGTTATAGTGACACTGTGAGCTTCGCTATGGAAGTAAGTCCTTGGAATTGTCTTCAGAAGCAAGCAGCATGGGGACGGTAAGCACTTCATATAATGCTTATATGTTTTTCAAAATTATGTTAATTTTTAATGGTTTAAAAAATTTTTATTGGGGCCCGGCGCAGTGGTGCAGTGGCTCAGTGGCGCAGTGGTTAAGGTCCTCACCTTGCATGCCCGGGATCCCATATGGGTGCCAGTTCTATCCCAGCAGCCCCGCTTCCCTTCCAGCTCCCTGCCTGTGGCCCGGGAAAGCAGTCCAGGACAGCCCAAAGCTTTGGGATCCTGCACCCACGCGGGAGACCCGGAAGAGGCTCCTAGCTTTGGATCGGCATAGCATCAGCCGTTGTGCTCACTTGGGGAGTGAATCATCTTCCTCTCTATCTCTCCTCTCTGTATATCTGCCTTTCCAATAAAAAAATAATAAAAATAATTTATTTTAATTTTTGTTGCTGTTTACATAGTTGAAACTTTTGTGTTTTAAATGAATACTAATTGTATACTTTAATAGGTTACAGTGAAACATTTCTAGACATGCAAATAATGTATATTGATCAAATTTGGGTCATCAACATTTCCCCTGTTTTGGCATTACTTTATGATGGAAGCCTTAGAGTGCCTTTTTTCCCCCTATCTTTTCATAAAATATACAGTAGGTTATTATGAATCGTGTCCATGATACCATGCTTGTAGAACACTAGGGACTTAATCTTTTGATCTAACTCTGATCTGGTACCCATTATCCAAAATCTTCCTGTTAGCTCTTACTACACCAAGGCTCTATGTGTCAGTATTTTGTGTTAATTTAGTAGCTTCCACAAATGAGGACTAATGTGATAACCATCTTCCTGTGTCTATATTATTTACTTAGTATGATGCCCAGCAGTACCATTCATTTTTCTGTGATAGAATTACTTCATTGTGTATATAGTCTGTTCTTATGGTGGTCACCTTGGTTGATTCCATATCTTGGCTATTTTGACTGGTAGTATAATGCACATGGTATAGTGGGTATTTCTCGGATATGTTCATTTCATATCTTTTGGATATATGCCCAGTAATAGGATTGTTGGGTTATATAGAAATTCCATTTCTATAATTTACTTATTATGTTGTAGATTGTTTTATTTTATTATGGGAGGTTTTCCCAAGTGATTCGGAATTAGAATTTTTCTCTCTGTTTATTATCAGAAGTGATAAATCCTTTAAAAAGCATTTCAGAATTGCGTGTAATAGTCCAAAAATGATTTCAGACTTGATTTCCATGGATAAGAAGTAAGAGTTTTTGTCCTTGTCCTGTGGCATTGTCTGTACTTACAAAGCAATAAACTGCAGTAAGTATGACCATTTTAAAATTCATTCTTGCAGACATAACTAGTAAATACTTATTCTTATGTTCAATCACAATAATTCATCTGAACTAGCCTGAGATATAGAAATATTTATTTTAAATGTACACCTGCAAGCTATTTGCTGTAAAAGAACATTGTTTTTTCCCCCCCATATTTACCTTTTAAATTCAATGTACCTATTATATTACATTTATGTTTGGTAAACCACATAGTGGAAATAGACTTTTGAAATGTTTTAAATCAGTTAGAAAAAGTTACTGTGCTTGTCTTTTGTGCTGTTTTAAACTTTGATTGTTCAGCTCTGCACAGGCATGAGTCAGGCCTGTATTTGCAGCATCTAACACAGGACTTGATACTTTGGACAACTGAAAACAAAACAAAACAGTGAATATTTCCAAATGGGAAAGAATTGAAAGCATTACATTTTGAATATTTCTATTGTCTAGTTCACATGTGCTACTAAAACAAAACTAAAGACTGGGTCATTTCTGTATAAATCTGTGAAATCCAGAAGGCTCTCTCAGGTTTGATGTCTGCTAAAGGTTGTGATTTACTTCTAGGATGGTAAGTGGATAGAATCTTTAGTTCAGGAACACGTGCAAATTTGTATCTCAGAAGTGAAAGGCTTTAAGTGTATTTCACGGACATTGCAGTTTTGGTTCCAAATCACTTGCTTAAGAAAATACTTTCCCTACATCCTCAGCAGTATTTAATGTTTTTGATTTTGGAGTGGTAACTGTTCTAACAGGAGTGTTGTGAGACCTCATTGTGGTTTTTATTTGCATTTCCCTGATGACTAGTTATCTTGAGCATTTCATTTGTTTGTTGGCCATTTGTAATTTATCATTTCAAGATTGCCTGTTTGTGTCTTTTGCCCATTTCTAAGCTAGATTGTTAAAAAGTGCCCTCATCCACTCTTGATGGAAATGTAAACTAGTATAACCATTATGGAAGACAGTATGAAGATTCCTTAAAAATCTGAAAATAGATTTACCATATGAAACAGCTATCTCACTCCTGGAAATTTACCCAAACAAAATCAGCATTTAAGAGTTATTTGTACTCTCATATTTGCTTAGCTTACAATAGCTAAGATTTGGAATCAGTCCAGATGTCCATCAGTTAGTGACTGGGTAAAGAAAATGTGGTATGTATACATTGTGGAATGCTGCTCAGAAAGAAAAGGAATGAAACCCTATCTTTTGCAACAAGGTGGATGAAACTGGAAATCTTTATTATTAGTGAAATAAACCAGTCTCAAAAAAGCAGGTTTCATGTGCTTTCTCTGATATGTTGCAGATAATGTAAAATACAAAAATGTGTAATAATGACTTTGGGATATGAGTATTGTTTTTAGCCCATGTTTAGACTCCAGTGGACATGCAGTCTTTGAATATTATGATTAGTGGTGAATTAAGCTTATGAATATATAGCTGATTAAGATTATATCTTTGCAAAAATTTATGAAAAGAGGGAAGGAAAAGTTGTCTTGCGGGGAGCAGGATAATGGGGAAAGTGTGGGTGTCTTGGAAATGTATTTATGGAATGTACAAATTATTTTCTGTTTATTTTAATAAAAAGTTTAAAATAAAAATACTTTCTTAGTGACGGGTGTTTGGCTCAACAATTAGGATCAGTTTAGATGTCTGTCATGTGTGCTGACATTGTGGTGCAGTTGAGTTGAGCCACCCCTTGTGATGCTGCATCCCACACTGGCTGTGGCAGGTTGGGATTGGGAGCCTGCTAAGTTCACAGAGACCTCCTGCTGGGTTTAGTTCAGGTGTTTTTTGTTTTGTTTTGTTTTGTTTTTTGTTTGTATGTTTTTTGTCTTCCTTCAGGTAAGAATGTAACAGGGAGTTATATGTAGAGGTGAAGAGAAAATCATGGTTTGATTAAAAAACACAGGGGTAGTATGCACCCAAACATGAGTGCAGACAACCTCATGAACATTCAGTTCATTTCTAGTTTCAAAAAAATCTCCATACTGTTTTCTGTAGTGACTCTGCTATTTTATCCACCCCTCAAGCATTTGTTACTTTCTCTCTTTCTAATAATAGTCATCTGACAGGGTGAGGTAATATTTCATATGGCTTTGATTTTCATTTTCCAAGTAGTTAGTGGTTTTGAGTGCATTTTTGTCATGTATTTGCTGATCATTCGAGTTTCTTTTGAGAACTATCTTTTCAGGTTCTCTTGCTTTTTTTTTAATTGGACTTTTTGTTGCTGTTTTTGAGTTTCTTATATATTTTAGATAATAATCTTCTGTTGAATAAGTAGCTTGCAAATATTTTGTCCCATTCTATTGATGTTTCTTTACAATGGAGATTGTTTTATTTACTGTGTATAGCTTCTGAGTTTGATATAATCTTGTTTGTCTAATTTTCCTTTTGTTTACTGCCCTTTTTTAGGATTTTATTCAAAAAAGTCATTTCCTACACTGATGTCGTAAAATGTTTCCACTATGTTTGTTTCTGGCAATTCAGTAGTTTTAGGTCTTACATGTAGGTCTTTAATTCATCTTGAATTAATTTTTTGTATATGATTAAAGACACCCAATTTTATTCTTCTGCATATGTATATCTAGTTTTGTTAACAGAAATTCACTGAAAAGACTATCCTTTCTGCAATTTTACAATATTGATGTTTTTTTTATAATTTTTTAAATTTTCTCTCTGAAATCAGATAACAATACTTACTATGTAGGATTATTATGGGTTAGATAAGATATTTTTATAGCACCTGGGTAACTGTTAATATAATTGTGTCAAAATATTTTAAATAAAAGAAAATAAATCAACAAAAATGTTGCAATTTTATTATTTCAGGTAAAGTTGTAATATTTAGCTACATGTTCGTAAGACATTTTATACATGGATATGTTATCACAACTGTACTCTTTCATCTTATTGACTTTGTATAATCAAAGTCAAATAAAAATAGGACTAGAAAATAGGGAATACCAAGCCATTAAGAAAGTAACAGCAGCACAAATGGTATGCACAATATGGACTAAAGGGAGAAGAACAGTATTAGTAGTTTGTGATTCAGTGTGGCAGTTCTGGGAATTTTAAGGAAATCTGACTTGTTTATGAGGTTTTCAGACTTCCTAATAAGCTGAGTAGGGGAATGAAGGAAACAGAACCTAGAGCCCTAGAGACTTACCGTATAACCCAAGATTGCAAACTACAGCTTTATTTCTGCCCTAGACTAAAGACAGCTTTCTCTGCCTGTTTTATGAAGAGTGGTTTTCTGCCATAGGTGGCTGGAATGATTGTTGGTTGGAACAATAAAATCATAGCCATATTTAAATGTAGTTCATCAGAGTGGAGAATTGAATGATCTCAGTTTATCAAGATAAATTACAAATGAGAACCCTGATGAACCATGGAGAGAAGTACAGTGCTGACAGTAATGAAGATCAGCAAGAGTGCTTCCAGTGTCAAGGTGGTGGAGCACGGTATAATATGATTTATAAGTGCATACCGTAGTAGCAACCAAAATGAAAAGGCTTAGTCTACTTATTAATAACATATAGGCAAATTTGTACCTTGGTTATTGCCATACCTAAATAATACCATTGTTATTGATGTCTTTGAGGATCTTCCTTCCCTACTCACACAGTTTTCTTCAATATCTCATTAAAATAAGTGAAGAAAAAAAAGCTTTTGGAGACCTTGCTTATGATAAGATTAGGACCATGCTTCCAGTTCTGTCCCATTCCGTATTCTTGGTAGTGATCTGGACAACAGAGTGCTTGCTTTACTTGCAGATGGCATCAAGCCAGGAGGGATGGGAACTATGCTGGTTGATCTAAAGAAGATTTCTGAGAAATAGGAGAAATGGGCTTAATCGAAAGAAGGGTTATTTGTAACTTGGTACCTTTAAACTGTCTAATTTCCCAACTAATGATGGATAAAGCTTAGCATTTAGTGGGACATCTTTTGCTCTGTAACAGTCTTAGCAACATACTAATCATAATTATGAAACCTTAATTAAAACAAATGTTTTACTTCTTATTTAAGGAAATTAAAAACATATGCTTTCATAAAATGTTTTAAAATAGCTAATAAAGTCTGTTGATCTTGAGCAGGCTTTGTTGATATTTATTTGCGGCTATCTCTTCACAGGAGTGTGGTTGACTTTTTCCTGGTGATAACCCAGCTAGGATTCTGCAGTGTTTATATTGTCTTCTTGGCTGAGAATGTGAAACAAGTGAGTATTTTCTCCACCTAGTAAGTCATTTTATTCTAATGCCTTAAGTATGGCATTATATTTCTTTTGTGGAATACATAATTAGTCTTCTCTTTCTTAAGTTGCATTTCTGGCATGATTTTTATTTTGCCTTGTCGTATTATTACAAGTGATAGCTCAAATCAAAGCATAACATACTAATTCTTTCTTGAAGTTTAGGTCTCAAAATCGTATACATAGATACTTTGGGAACATATACCTATGCTGGTCATCTATAATTAATATATAACAAATGAAGGGAAAAGTGATTATCTGTGACCAAAATAAAATGATTATTGCCATTGTCTGCAAAGATACCATATCCTAAAATTTTAGGGGTGGAGAAGGGAAATGTCCCATAGTATGAGGGATTGTTTTAAGCGGAAATGGTGTGTAGCCTTGGTATGATTAAATCTTTGGAACAAATATGCAAAGCATGGAAATGAAATCCCCCATTAAAGCAACACTTTTAAAACAGCACTTTTCTTTATAACTGGTTTTGTTATTACTGTGGTATCCTCATTCACTTCTTTAATATTTTTAGTCAGTGACAGTTATTATATAGTACAATAAACATTGATACTCCAGTAACCTCATGGAAAGTTATCGGGGTCTACCGTCCCGCGGAAGAAATCATCCGACACTGGAGAGAGTCTCAGAGGCGCTTTATTCAGATCTTCCGTTAAAAACCGTTATGTCCGTTAATTCCGTTACGCTGCAGCTCCTGCTCCGCCAAGCCCCCTCCCCCCCCCGCTTATCTGCCAAACCTGTCCAATCAGCTTAAAGATCACCAAGGCACACCAATCAGGGCAAAGGGCCAATCACAGGGCAGGAAATTGTCAGTGCCCCCCAACAGAAAGTGATCATGTATTTTAACATGTATTTAAACATGTATTTTAAAATGTTTCTGCCTTAAAAAATACAGAAAATGTCATTTTCCATGAGGTTTTTGAGGTATACTTACATATATTAAGATGCAAGATACATTTGTCTTGTAGGTGCTTTAAAGCAAAATAATGACTCCTATGTTTTTTAAAGAATCTGTATTTACTAGACAGTTTTCTAAGTATAAAGTGTGCTTCATTGTACATTTAGGTCAATTGGCAAACTTTGAGGGTCAGATTATAAGTATTTTCTTTCTTTTTAATAGATTTATTTAATGTGTTTATTTGAAAGGCAGAATATGAATGAGAGAGAGATAGAAAAGGAGATTTTTTTTTTTAAATACAGAGTTATAAACAGGAAAGGAGAGGGAGAAAGAGAACGAAGATCTTCCGTTTATTGGCTCACTCCCCAGATGACTACGATGGGAAACCCAAAGCTTCTTCTGTGTCTCCGTAGGGGTGGCAGGGGCCCAAGGACTTGGGCCATCTTCTGCTATTTTCACAGATCCTTTCTCAGCTAGGGGCTGGATCAGCAGTAGCGCAGCCTGGACTTTAACTGGTACCCATATTCCTGTGGCTTTAACCACTACAACACAATGCTGCCCCTGGATGATAAGCATTTTTCACTTTTTCAGGTCATATGATCTCTGTGCCATGAACAATAATGTGTAAATAAATATATATATAATTGAATTTCAGTACAGCATTACTGTTCTGATTACTGGTAGGCTAGATTAAATGTGTAGTTCCTATCTTGCCAACCGCTGAGTTAGGCTATTACTGTATGCTATTTCTGAGGCATTAGTTTAGATTTTTAGCGTTGCAGGAGCTACCAAGCTCTTTCTTTCGGGAGAGTTCTGCTAAAAGAACACAGCTAGTTAGCAATTAGAGTTTGGATCTTCAGATCCATCTTTCTTTCAGTGTACTCTGCCTCAGCGTCTAGAAACATTTGCGTCTGGAAAAGTTCTAACTCCATCTTCAAGTCCAACATCTCAGTAAAATGTTCCTCAGTTCTTTACTCCACATCTTTGTTGTCTTCATCTCTTGCCAGAAAATGTTAATATTTTTCCTTCTTGTGTTTATACTACTTTAAAGTTAATTTTTTTTTATTTTAAAGTTAGAGAGAGAAAGGGAGAGACAGACAGATACTGGTTCACACCCAAATGGCTGGAATGTCCAGAGCTGATCCAAAGTTGAGAGGAAGGAGTTTCTTGTATGTCTTCCACATGGCTACAAAGGCTCCAGTAACTTTGGTCATCCTTTGCTGCTTTCCCAGGCACATTAGCAGAGAGGTAGATTAGAAATGAAGCAGTTGGGATTCAAACAGGTACCTATATGGGATGCCGGTACCACTGACTGAGGGTTAGTGTGCTATACCATGATACCAATTCTATTAAGTTAATTTCTGAGTTAATTTTAACTGCTAGACTGCAAGCCCATACAATAAGGAACCAGTAGGAATATATCTGTTGTATGCACCATGGCAAGTTAGCATGTAAGAGTGCCTGCCTTAAATACTTACGTAATTTTTCTTCCCAGCTTCATCTTAATTTCCGTTATCCAATACCCTACTTACAAATTATTTCTTCTGCCTTTTCTGCCCATTAGTTACCATTAATTTCTTAGACCTTTTCAGAAGAAAAATCCTTAGTGTAAATCATTGGTGTCCTTTACATCCAGGCGTTTCTTCACACATTTCGTAACTATAGAACAAGACCTTAGTGAGAGCAAATAGGGATGGGAGGTTTGAAGGGATGCGAAAGAGTAACAGCAGTTAGAATTTATGAGGGTCTTGTTCATACTTTAATCAAAAGAAAGCACCCATGTTTTTTTTTAAATTAGTATTATAGATGGCATGCTTTTCCTTTTGTTAAGTGTTTAATTGCACAGATTGCCTATTTCTAGGACTCATAGCCAGTTAGAAGTGTTTATAGTCAAGAACTAATAACAACATCTTCATGATCATACAATACAATACAATTAATACTTTTATAGGACTGTGCTAAATGATGCTGTTGTATAATTTGTAATTTCTTCTAGGAGAATTACCTACAAGTTCTGTTTAAATTTAGGGGCAATAGTAACAAAACCATATTATTTTATATTTATAAACTAAAGATTTATAACTCAATCTTTATAACTACCCTGTTTGTAAATACTGTGCTTATTTAATAAATGAGGAAGCAGTGTCATAAACATGAGAAATATGCCATGAGGTACATACAGTTAGGCTGAAACCTAGATTTCTGTCACAGTTGCCACGTAACATTAATGGCCAGTCACTGGGTAAAGCACTGTCTTATTTTAGTTGTGTGTGTTTGTGACAGAGTAGTAAAGGTAGATCAAATAGATATCTGTGATCTTTTCCTGTGAAATGTTATATGTTGCTTCCAAAGTTTAGTGGAAAAAAATGAGTTCATTTGTACATACCCAACAAACATCAGAAAGAAAAGGTGAGTGTCTCGGAGGCAAGGAGTGTCTGCCTTGGAAAGGTCGGCAGGGTTCTTGAGACATAAAGAGCAACATGGAAAAAGGCATGCAGTCCAACTGGAAAAGAGGACACTGATGAACTTATCATTGTGTAGAGCAGAGCGAGGGTCGTGAAGCAGTAGAATAGAGATTTTCACTGTGTTTACAAGGGTGTTCTTTTACATTTGATGACTGTCACAATAGTAGAATCACTAATTGATTAAATGTTACCAATTGCTGATCCTATTGTAATAAGAACTATAGAATTGTTACCACCTCAATATAAATGCTGCTGAAAGTATAGAATTTCATTAACCCATGAATGTAAAGATTTTATTACCATATGGAGGTATAAACCTTCTCTGTTATTATCCCGGAGCTATTCTTACACTCATTAAGTTATTATGCACAGTGTGGAAGGAAAGAACTCTAATGCTTGCAGTGACTCTGATTCTTACTATCTTACTCTAGAATACTCCAGAACATTTCACATAAATAAAATAAGGTACATGGACATGGAGTGTAATGAAGAAAGACTACATCAAGGTGAAAGTGTAGTGATACCAGAGACTGTTGCCGTTAGAGTCAGGAGACGAGTTCCAGTCCTTGCTCACTGAGTTTCAGTTGGGAAAGATCTTCCCTTATTCCTGGTCAAAACTCAGTTTCCTTGTTTGTAAAATCATAAAAAAATATTCCACCCATTTTTTCATAAATTTATTGTGAAATTCAGCAACAAATTTGTGAAAGTCTTGGTAAAATGTAAAATTTGTAAAACATACAGGTGTAAAGTATTATGACTTTAATTCTGCATTTAGCTTTTTTAAAGAACATAGTCAGCCTTTGAAATTTTAACTGTTAAGTTACTAGATCATTAAAAAGTCAATAGATACTTAATTTTAGAAAACTTTGAGCTCCAAATGAAAGCAACTGAATTAAGTAATTTTATTTTACAATATTTATTTCAGTGTTTTACATTTTGGTAAACATGTGAGATCATAGAAGTCCTAATAGATAGTCAATTTCTGTCTCTAGAGGGCACCAAAGGACTCAAATGTTTATCTGAATCTTGCTCTAGGTATGTATCTATACTTTTATTTAATTTTTTAATCCAAACAATTTTCATAAACATTTTTTTGCCAAAGGATACCAAAAATATTATATTTGTTATAATGTTACTCAAAATTTCCAACCATCTAACAATTCAAATAAACTCCTTAAAATTATTTATCTTTGTTAGACCTTAACTTTATCAATATCCAATTTAATTACCAGAGGCACTGTTTTGATAAGAAATCCTTGACTCTAAATGATCTGGTTATTGAATTAATAGTGAAATATGCTCTTAAAAACCCAGGAATATGAATTATTAATTTTGTATGTATTAGAAACTATAGAAAATATGAAGTTTTAATGGCCAGTTATAAGATAGTTATTAGCTATGCATTTCCTAAAAGGTGCCTGATATAACTTAAGAGTTGGTTGTGCAGTGTGAGTTATATATTGCCCAGTTAAAATAAAACAGACATTTTATGATGTGATTAGGTTTTTAGCCTTTGTGTATCTATGGGACCTTAATTTTCTACTCTGTTGAATATTTTAATTAATTAGTGGTACATTAAGCCTGTCATTATAAAGTAAAATGAAATGATATTTTTGCAAAAAGTATAAGAATAAAATGAAGAGGGGCTTGAAAGAGGGAGAAAGGCCTAAAAGGAAGTTAGATTCTCTTCTTACAGTTCCATCTGTGAAAGTCGTAAAATCTATTCTTTTTATATTAATAAATTTATTAAAATGCAGAGCAAATCTGGCAGATATATTCTCTACAGTCTAAGAATATGTGTACATTTGCTGTGATACTAAACATTGATTAACATGAATTGTAAGTATAAAATTAAAGAAATACTTGAATTACTAATCATATTAGAGGTTTTTTTAAATTTGTAGTTACTTGACCTTTCAGCGCTTACGAAGGCAGGCAAAGCCGTGTCAGAGTGGAGGCCAGGTGGCTGGTTGGGCGGGAGCTCCCTGTATGAAGTCAGCGCTTGTTGGTCAGGCTGACATACTGCTGAGTACAAGCTGGAGTCTGGAGACCTAGACGTGTGTTTGAATCTTGCACTCATTGCTTACTGTCTTGATACTGTGCAAACAAGGTCCTTGTAGCCCACTCTAAGGCCCGCTTTCCTCAACTGCAAATTAAAATCAATAACAGTACTGATTTCAGAGGTGTTGCATGTAAAAGCATGTGGCTCAGTATCCAACCTGTAGAATTCATCCAAAAGCTGCTAGCTACTATTATCATAAGATCAGTTTCTTGAGAGTACATGTATGCAGAGACTTAATACTATTATAGGTTCAGAGAGAATACATTCAGTGTTTTGGGACAAACAGACTTTCATTGGTATTTAAATTGTAATATGATTCCTGTAAAATATTAAGATGGTTCTAAAATACTTTAATTGTACTTCAGAAAAAATTAAATTATGCTATTGATTAAACCAAGGGCAATTTTAAACTATATGAGGCCTATGAATCATTGTATACCTTCTGGAAAATTAAAATTGTGTTATATAGGTACTGAATAAATTTTATAACAGTGAATCTACTAGTACAGTATCCAGTGGCCATTCTAGAAAAGTATGCTCCTGATTTTCTGATTTCAAAAGCAGATCTTTAAGTATTTGTCATTAGCAAGGAGCTGGATCAGAGGCAGAGCCACCAGGACTCGAACCAGCACCCATATGGGATGCTGATGCTGCGGCTGGTTATGCCAGGGTGCTGACCCCATAATCATCCAATTATTTGATATATCTGTTTCTAAGAAGCAGAATGTTCAAAATGTAAACATTTGATGTATTGTGAAATGTATCATAGGAATTTATCCAAGAATATATAGCACATATTTTTTATTTATGTTTTTTGATATACATTTTGCTTGATTATAATTGATGGAAAATTTTTCCCTTTGCCTATTTTCCTGATAATCTTCTGTAGGTTCATGAAGGATTCCTGGAGAGTAAAGTTTTTGTTTCCAATAATACTGATTCTTCAACTCCATGCGAGAGGAAAAGTGTTGATTTACGGATCTATATGCTTTGCTTTCTTCCATTTATAATTCTTTTGGTCTTCATTCGTGAACTAAAGAATCTGTTTGTCCTTTCATTCCTTGCCAACCTTTCCATGGCCGTCAGTCTTGTGATAATTTACCAATACGTTGTTAGGGTAAGTATGTTGTGTTTTTTGACTAATTGTCATGTATTTCTTATATAAATAAAACTTTTAGTTACTTGAATGGTAAAAGTAATAAAGCCTATTTCAGTGTCTGGCACACGGTTGATAATCAGGAAATATTGATTTATTTTTGGGGAATATTGTTTAGTTAGGAAAGCTATGACAGAGTGAAAAAAAACAGGTTTTATAAACAGACCTCATTTTAAATCTTTGGAAAACTTGCTTCTGGGCTTTGAGACATTGCTTTAAAATATAGTAATTCATATTCTGTTAGAATTAATTTTAAATTTTAGTATTGTGCTCTTGGGGATTGCACTTAACATGAAACCAAGAACAAGTGTGTTATTTGTTCTTATAATATTTGAACCAATCACAAGAGTTGGTTCTGTAAATGAATTATATGCTTTTATTTTACATAAACTTTTTTTTCCCTTTAGTGCTGCCACAGTAACCACCAGTGTAGTAACCTGAACTGACTCTAATATATTTGGGAATTCTTAGTGTTCTTAAACAGATCTATTGTAGGATTCAGTTAATATGCAAAATCCTTAAAAGTTTTCACCAAAGTTTCTTCTGAATGTATGCATCTGTTTTCTGTTGAAAAGCTTTATAGCTTTCATCTCCTAAAGGGGTCAGTGCCTCCAAAGATTTGAGGACCCCTGATTTATTTTTTTTTCTAATGTAATCTATCTTATATCTGGCTTCCAAGATAATTTTTGTAAAATTTTCACTACAAACCCTTATAATGGATGTTTGTTTCTTTTATCCACGTCTTTGAATTGCAAAACCTATAATCTCCTCCATAATGCCTAAGACAGACAGGGGATTACCTAAGACTTTGAAGGGTTTATGATCCCATAGCTGACAGTGTAATAGTTACTGGAGCAGAAAAGCGGGAGCAATAGGTAGACCAAATGGCACGAGATGATGCATGGAGGAGTGAAATTGCATCCTGTTTGCCTTGACTAACAGTTTTGTTTTACTGAACGATGCAAGCACTTATTATTTTTAACTTGGACCCTATTTTATTTCTTTGGTCATGTGTTGCCATTATGTCACAGTTCTTCCCATATTTCAGATGTATTTCATATTTCTAGACCTTTCTATTCCCTACGTTATTGAATTCCTTTTACACTTAAGTGATTTTGTTCACCTCTTTCCTTGCCTTACATTCTTTCCCAAATCAGGTAAGCCAGAGGATTTGGGCTGCTGAGGAAGCAGGATCTAGAGTTGAGATCTTTGAAAGGAGTTGGCAGAGATCTTGACCAAGATGTATAGTTTGGGCGTTTATTGACATAGTGATAATTGCAACAGTGCAATGAGTCAGGACCACGTAATCAAAGCAAAAGTTGGGTCATCGATAGACAATGAAAAAGGTAATGACAACTCTAGGGCCAAAGGATAAACAGTGAGAACAAGAAGAGACTTGTACTAGGGAGAAGCAGACTTAGGAGGCAGAAAGTCAAAATCAGGAGCCAGGCATTTTAGCAATGGAAAATAGAGTGAATTTTTGTTGAGTATATACAGTGGTCGTTGATAACTAGGACTCTAGTTCAAATCATGAATGTGCTTATCTGTTTCCTGTTGTGGGAGAAGACATGCCCAGTGACCATAGCTGGGGATTTGCAGGTAGAAGCAGGTAAACAAGATGATGTCACTCTGATGGAATCTGTACGCATGATGAAAACAGTTGGTTTTGGCAATGCAATCCTAATGGCTTGGCAACATTTAACATATGATGCTTCAGTTCACTAAAAGAATTATTCACTCTTAAAGCCACATTTGCTGTTTTGAAGCTCAGAAAAAAGAATGATTTTTGCTTTTCATATTTAGGTCTCTAAAATGAATGAGAATATAACCTGTTTTTTTTTGTTTGTTTGTTTGTTTGTTTGTATAGAATATGCCAGATCCCCATAACCTTCCAGTAGTGGCTGGTTGGAAAAAATATCCCCTCTTTTTTGGGACTGCTGTATTTGCTTTTGAAGGCATAGGGGTGGTAAGTCTTTATTATTATATTTTAAAACATTAAATCAACATGAAAATTTATATAATCAAACTTTCTTAAAAGTACATATTTTTCTGTTACAGTTTTCTTAGAATGTGATTTCTTGTTTGGCATGATGGAGTTAATTTATGCTTTAGTCTTGCATTAATCAAGAGCTTAATCTTAGTTATATCACTTTGATTTTCTAACCCTCTTTATCTGTATTATGTGGAAATTAGACAAGGTGATTTTTAACTTTTAAATTATGGAAAATTTAAAGCCAGTGAAAAATGTAGAGAATAATGTAACAAATTCCTGTTTAATAATTATCCATCTTCAAAGGTGTAACTGATGCCCAATTTTGTTTTATCTGCATCCCATATATTTAAGCACATACCAAACATATCTTAGAGGCTATATTGTTTGAGGGGCATTGCTACTTTTTTCTAAGAGTCAGATATAAATTCCCCATCTAGATTTTTACATATCCCCTTTGAGAAACAGTTTCAGTAAAATGCAAATACCAAAACATAGAAGCATCTTGATGATCTTAAGATCTGAAATATCACAATTCACAATGCTTCAAGTTTGTTTAAAGCCTTGAATTTGTAGATTTTGGGAAAATAAAATATTTCTGAGCTCTGTTCCATAGTTTGATAGTCTGATGATTTGGGAGGTAACACACTGTAAGCATGTTTTTATAGGACAAAGTAGATTTAAAAATACTTTCCTTTCACGTTTTGTTTGAGTTGTTATGTGTTTTGATTTCTCTTTTAAGGAATTCTGATAAACTTATAGTTTCTGCTAGCTCAGTTAAAACCATTGCAAAACATAACTGGACATTTTCATCTCTGTCTTTAACTAGTGAGCTCTAGTATCTAGTTGACTATTGAACATTTCCTACTAAGTGTTGTTTCTCTGACATAACAACATCAACTGTTTCAAAGTGTGACCCATACTTTTTAATTCCAAACCAGTTTGATACAGTCTAAAGGCTGAGAAAGACCTTGTAAGGTCAGTCCCATTCATAATAAATGCCCCAAATTTAAATATCTTGGGAAGAAATTTAACCAAGGATATGAGGGATCTCTAAGATGAAGATTACCAAACATTAAAGAAAGAAATAGAAGACATTAAGAAATTGAATAGTCTTCTATGCACATGCATTGTTAGGATTAATATGAAAATGTTCATGCTACTAAAAACAATGTATTGATTCCTTACAATCCCAACCAAAATATTTATTACATTACTCTCATATTCTAGAAAAAAAATTGGAATTTCAAGTGGAAAAATCAGAGATCCTGAATAGCTAAAACCATATTAAGCAAAAAAGAGACAAAGCTGGAAGCATCATAATACCAGACTTCAAAATCTACAAAAATAGACATACAATGAAATAGAGTAGAAATTCCAAAAATTAATCCACACATCTACAGCCAGCTATTTGTTAATAGGTGATATCAATCTAGGAAGAAAGCATAGTCTCTTCAGTAAATGGTGTAAAAATGTCAAACAAGATTCCCACCTTATACCTTATATAAAAATCATCTCAAAATGGATCAAGGATCTAAATCTTTAATCTGATACCATCAAATTACTAGAGAAGACATCTGGGAAATACTGCAAGACATAGCTGTAAGCAAAAACTTCTTGGAAAAGACCCAAGAAGCCCAGGCAATTAAAGCAAAACTACATCAGACTCATCAGGCTGTAAAGCTGCTGCACTGCAAAGGAAGCTATTAACAGAATGAGAAAAGACATTTGTGAATTATGGAATGGTAGAGGGTTAATTTGCAGGATCTATAAAGAACTCAAATTCAACAACAACAAAGCAAACAATCCAGTTAATAAATGGACAGAGAGCATGAACAGGATGAATAGGCAGTTTTCAGATGATCAACAGATACATGGAAAAATGCTTATAATCACCAGCTATGAAAATGCAAATAAAAGCCATGTGAAGTTTTACCTCATGCCATTTGGCCTTGGCTGTCATCTAAACAAACAAACAAACAAACAAACAAACAAAAAACCCACTGAATGTTGCAAGAATGTAGGGGGAAAGGTACTTTAATTCACTGTTGGTGTGTATGTGAACTGGTATAAGTATTAGTGAGGACAGTGTAGAGATCGCAGAGATGTGAAAATGGATCTGCCATATGACCCAGCCAGCCTGCTCCTGCTAATTTATCCAAATGAAGTCTAATGAATGTAACAGAGAATTTTTATACACCCATGCTTATTGCACATCATACAGATCAGTTCAAAATAGCTAATCAACCTAGATGTCCATCAGTTAATGACTGGAAAGAAAATGTGGAATGTGTACATTGTAGAATAGTACTCAGCCATAAAAAATAATGAAATTCTGGTATTTGCAGAATGGATGCTACTGGAAACCCTCAGAGACAAATGTCATGTTTTCCCTTATATGTGGTAGCTAGTACACAGAATCAAAAACTGTTACCCAAATGAGCATAATGGACATTTTGAAGTTTGATTATTGCCTACAGCCTTTGTATTCTTCAGGAACAATGGGTGTTTTTTTCAGCTTGGTATTTGTTGAATTATTTACCTAATGAGGTGTTAATTCTATGATTGTGAAGTGAATTTAAAGTATGCATTTGCAAAATTATTTAAAAAAAAAGAAGGAGAGAGTGGGTCGGGAACATGGGCAGGAGGGAGTTTAGGGTGGAACGTATCTTTATGCTCCTAAATCTGTATTGTGAAATACGTGAAATTTGTTATACACACACATATATATATACTTGTGCACATATATATTCACATATAAATTTTTAAAACTCAAAGCCAATTTAACCTCAGTTTTGTTTATTCAGCATTTGGTTCTTGGTTCTAATCAGTATTTAAGGCGTGTTGATTCCTCTTTCATATTTCTCAAATCTTTGTTATAAAGTGGATAATTCCTAAAACACATGTTAGGCTAAATGACACAGAAGAAAGAACATTAATTTCCTTTCTTTTTTTCATTTTATGAAGTCTGTGGGGCTCATCTAAAGATGTTCTAGTCCAGCATTTCAGAACTGTATGAGCATCAGGACATGCAGACCATTCTTTGATCTCTTTTCCTTGATTAACAGTGTTTCCATAGGGAACTCACAAAAGAAAGCTCGGGCAAAAAGTTAGCTTTTATCTCAGCTTTCATGAAGACTGTGTGCTATTCAAAGCATTCAGTAAATACTTGCTAATGTCATTTCAAAGTGTAGTCAAACTTTATGGCCAGAACCTCTGGGTATTAGGCTAAAATACATGATCCTTTAAATTAACTTTTAATTTAAAAGCTCTCTTAAAGACATAATTATAATTATTTATTAGTCTTGCTAAAATCAACAGACAAAACATGCAGGTCTCTGTTTTTAGAAACACTTACAGATATGTCCATTCTTGTGGGTTAGAACACGTGCTTATGTTTCCTAGTAGAAACAGTCACTTCTACATCAAGATCTTGATTTTGAAATACCATTCTCCAGTCTAAAAAGTTCTTTGGGAAAGAGTGGACAATTCCAGGATTAAAAGTAAGGATTGAAGATTAGTCCAAAGTATCTTTTAGAGCCAGAAAGTAAAGAAGTGCTCAACACAAGGATAGAAGTATTCCAAAGGGCCATAAAAGCAAACCTGAGAGAATACATTGGGCAAAGCTGGAACAGTATGAGTAACAAAAAAGGAATAAGCATTATGTTGTAACTCGATGTACCAATCTTGAGTCTGTACTAGTAAGTAATTGCCTATTTAAATAAATACATGAGAAATAATCCCAGATAGTTTGCATCACTTCCTTCTCTAGGAGTTAATTCTCACTTGAGTCCCCGGAGTGTGGGCTGGATCTAGAGATCTGCTTTCAGCAAAGAGAACATAGGAAAAACAATAACAGAGAAATCTGGCCAGCTTCCTTAGCCATTTGATCAAAATAAATGTTACCAATGATAAGTTATGTTGATAACATGTATGTAGAGAGGGCACTGCATTTCTGTAGTGTCTTTCTCTCAAATACATAATCAAGACTAGTTATCAGGAAAGCATTAGTCATACCAGAGTAGAGGGGCATTGCACAAGGTATCTAACCAGTACTCCTGAAAAAAGCTGTCAAAAGAATGAACATTGAGAAGTTGTGATAGGCAGAAAAGACTAATGACAAGGTGCAATATGATATCCTAGTTGGGGCCCTAGAACAGAGTGGGAAAATGAGTATAATCCAGATGAAGTCTGGTGTTTAGTAAATGGTAATATGCTAATGTTGGTTCTTATAACAAAGGTACCTCGATAATGTAAGATGTTAACATCAGGGGAAGCTGGGAGCTCCGTTTCCTTTCTATCTTTTCTGTAAATGTGGAAGATTCCAAATTAAAAACACTATTTTAACAACCTGACAGGCTTCTCTGCCAAGAGAATGATCTAAAGTCTTTTTATTTCAACTTAAAAATATGTAGGGAAAAAAATACATAGTACACAAAAAGTACTTCAACAGTTATAGATGTTATTTTAAAGAATAGAATATTTGAATATACTTTCTAAAATACTAGTTTCTATGTATAAGACACTATGTTATTTTAAATTACTTACATAATGTTGTTTTTCAAAAATTAATTTCATCCTCTTCTTAGGTTCTTCCACTGGAAAATCAAATGAAAGAATCCAAACGGTTTCCCCAGGCGTTGAATATTGGCATGGGAATTGTAACAACCTTGTATGTCACATTAGCTACTCTAGGATATATGTGTTTCCGTGATGAAATCAGGGGCAGCATAACTTTAAATCTTCCCCAGGATGTATGGTAGGTGGACATGCGTTTGTTAATCTTAACCTACATATTTTGTAGATATCATTTACTAATATTTTGTTGATAAAGTTACATTATTGAATTTGTGGTTTAAACTTTCAAAAATTTTGTTATGATTTCTTTTTTGTATAATCTATTTAGGTAGTTCTCATGGAGATATTTATGAATTAATAGATGCTTCTAGTTTTTCTTTTATAAAGAGTTTTCTAAAGTATTATAAAATTTGAGACTTCCCTAAGGGTGAAGAGGATTCTTTTAGTATGAATGCACTTCCTAAAAAAGAATACCTGTCCTTGCAAGCAGAACTGCAGCATCCTGGGTCCTGAGAACGTGACGTATCCTCTCAGTCGCTTTCCTCACTGGTTGACTCAGCTCTGTGTTGTGTATGTTTTAGATCCTGTCAGAACAGAGTCAGGGCATATTATAAATAATAAAAATAGTACATCTTAGTGTCCTCTCTAGTATTAGGAGCATACTCTACTAAAACAATATATGTATGGTTTTTGTTTCTTCTAGAAGTTCATCTTGAGGAATTTTTAACAGATATTAGCAGTGATTACCATGTAGGCTAACTACCTTACTTAAGACATGAAAGTTATATCTCTTGGTTTTGATAAGTACAAAGAATGATTGATATGTATTTGACTTAAATAGTGTCACACTGTCCTTTGGCTACTTGAAAAGAAGACTGTGGAACCTCAAATATCCCATTAGTGTAGTGAAAATCAACAGTAGCAGAAATTCTATCTGTAGATTGGTTTACTGATAAAAACTTGTCTATCATTTAATAATCATTTGAGTCTGAATATTTGTTACAATAAGAAATATTGTCAGAAGTGTTTGTAAAAAGCCACTTAAACCTGAGGGTAGTGTCCAGGTTGTAAGAGGCATATGTGTGGATTGCTTGTCTTTTTTAGAAATATTTTTAATATAGCTGACATTTTATAAATATTTCAAGAGGAAAATATTTCAAATGTTATACATATATTTCAAGACTGTAAAGAATGTATTTTAGTATTTATTTTTTGTATTCAATACTATTTATTTCAAAATACATGATTATTACTTGTTTTATTAACCTTATTTTTGATTATATAATTTTCTTTCCTTCAAATGTGCTGGTCTTTCCTTTTTATAATATGAAATAAGAAGCTTAATGGTCTAGAAGCTTAAACAGGTTAGTTTAAGACGATCAAGGCTAAAAAATATAACATAGCTCATTTTCTCAAATAATATAAAGTGTCTGGAAAATACAATGATATTTCTCTTAGAATAATGTTTAGAATTTATCTTAAAATAGTAATTTTAGAAACAAATTTGACATTTTAATGTTAATTATAAAATATGGGTAGAAACAATTTCAAAATTCTTCCCTGCTCTTATTTATGAAAACATTTAAGACAGACTCTTTCTGGAGATGGCAGTGATGGAGTATGACTGTGTTCAGGTTGAAGTGTTCCTAGTCCCAGACGATTTAGAATATGGTGAAGGTTCCATTCCCAAGAATCATAGAACTGTTCTTTGCATTCCAAAGCTTTGGTAGCTCTAAGAAACTCTTCCATTTTGCCACAATTTGTTTTATCCTGCAAGCCCTAATAGCCATGGCTTTCTAGTTAGAATGGAGCTAGCTGTGATTTGATTAAAAGGTGACTGTGAGATTATAGTGTCTATTTGAGAAAATCTGAATAGACACTGCCTTTCATTTAGAGGAAATTTTGTAATAGCTATCCCCCCAAATAACAAAAATCTTGGAACAAGAAACAGGAACGCATGACAGGGAATGAGAGTTGCCTATTGTTTTAAAGTTATAGTCTGTGAAATGAGAGGTTTTGTGTAAAAGAATCATGAGGTTGTGTCTTAAGTTTCTTTCTTAGTGTGTTGGATGAGTTTCTCTTTCTCTTGCTGTGTTTCACTTGAAAGACGCGTTGGGAGTTAACCTGTGATATAACTATTGGCTATATATGAAAACCAATGGCTATTTCAAGAGCATCCCAGGGATCTTCTGTTTGAGCTGGAAGAATTTATAAAAAGCCTTTCAAGCTAACTTGGCTTGGAGTCCTGGAGTTTTTAAGGGTCATTGATTTAAGAAAGGTTAAGTTGGAGGAGGCCACAGGATGAAGCAAGTGTGGATTAGAGAACTTCTGAGTTATTAATTATTAACCTCAGTCCTCCCGAGTTCTTTAAAAAGCATAATGGCCTTCAATATATTTCATTTGGCTTTTGAGGTAAAGTGTATAATTTAAAGGGCATGATGAAGTAAATGGACAATTCTGAACTGCAATGTCAGCACCCTGTATGCAGGGTATCTTTTAGATTTGCAACATACCTCTGTTGTCTTGAATACAGCTTATTGCTTAGGGGACAATTAATATTTGCTTTCCTCTAGGTTTAAAATCATTTCCTTTGTTACCTTATTATACAACCAAAATACCATTTTTAATCCTAGTTGAACGAAGTTTTAGCAATTTTTTTTTTTCACCAAAGTAACCCCAATAGCAGTTGAGGGACAAAAGCATTTTCTTGGAAGACTCAGTTTCCCAAATGGCCCATCCCTCACCTAGCATCAATTTGTGTTATACTAACAGTGTAAAGTTTTTCTTCTAGTTAATACTATATATGATGCTTTTTATATAAAAAGAATTCTACCTCAGGAAACTTTCAGCAAAATATATGTTTCAGGAAGAGCCTCCACAATTAACATTGGGAACTTCTAGTATTCAGCCACACTGTAGGAGAGAATATACATTCTCAGATATTTTCATATTCTCACAGGTTCAGTGCAGTTACAAGTAGAATGGCAGAGAAGAAATAAACAGAAAATTGGATTTCAAAAATGCATGATGGCAGCAACAACATCATACAATGATATCTGTTTTAATCAGGACCACTTTTTAAAAATAAAATAATGGCAACATTTCTTTTTTTTAAAGTTTATTTTTATTAGGAAAGCAGATATACAGAAAGAAAGAGATACAGAGCAAAAGATCTTCTGTAGCTGGTTCATTCCCCAAGTGGCCACAGCAGCCGGAGATGAACCAGTCTGACCTGAAGCCAGGAACCATGAGCCTCTTCTGGGTCTCCCACGCAAACGCAGGCTCCCAAGGCTTTGGGCCATCCTCTATTGCCTTCCCAAGCCATAAGCAGGGAGCTGGATGAGAAATGGAACAGCCTAGATAGGAACCGGTGTCCATATGGGATCCTGGTTCATCCATGCAAGGGTTTAACCACTGTGCTATCCTGCTGGGTCTTGCCTTTTCTTAATCTTTATATAGATTCTCTTGTTTCACACAAGTGCATTTATGCTTTAACGTATTGCTAGTTGTTACTTTAACTTACAAAATCTTACCAACAAGGAAGTGTTTTTTGTTTTTGTTTTGTTTTTTTTAAAAAAATTTCATGATGCAGTTATACTGGCTCTATCCTCCCCCACCTCCCCGCCGCCCCTTCCACCACCACTAGAAAGTTTTAGGTAGGAAAAGTTTTCATTAGCTAGATTTATCTAAATTCTGAAATACAGATAGGAATGTGGACTTAGACTAGAAGCAACGATGTTAAAATTTGTCTTTTAGTTTGTGTTCAGGAGTGAGTGCCACATGCAATACCTCCAATGGGATTGTGTCAAATTATGTTTGTCTTCAAATCTCTTCTAGTAATAATTTATAGAATTCAAAACAGAAGATGAAGGTTTTAGCATATGTTATTGTTGCATAGTTTAAGGATGAAATGACTCAAGGGTAACCATGTCAATGATTGCATAGCAAGTTCTTGACAGGACTTTGGATGGCAAATAGTTTTTATTTTTATTCTGTTTTACTCAGTCTTCTTGGATGGTAGTAATAACCATAATAATAACAAACATCCTTTTTGTTTAATTTTTAAAATTTTTGTTTCTCTTTTACTGTTCAAAAGCACAAGTTCTATTCTGTTCTCCTTTTCCTATCACAGTTACTGTTCCTGTTTACTTGTTTACTGTTAACTTGGTTTCAGTTAGCTACTTTTTAACCCTCTGTGGCCATTTGGGAGTAAACCAGTGAATGGAAGATCTCTCTTTCTGTCTTTTATTCTATGTATCTTTGCCTTTCAAATAAAAATAAATCGATTTTTTAAAAAAAGAAATAAATATAAGAAATGTAAGGAAACTGAAGGAAAGAGGTTCAGTGTCCCAGGAATCCAGTCAGGAGAGTGAATTATCCATAGAGTTTTTCCATGGGCAGCTTCTGTAACCAGCTTGAGAAAAGGAGAGGCAGACCACAACTTATTTGCTCGAGTTAACTGTGTAAGATACCTGTACCTGAGTGTATAAGTCAGGTATTGGTTTGTTAGCCAATGTGAAGGAAAAAGAAGATCCTTCTTACTTTTGCAGTGTGTTTTCAAACTAACATTTTCTTTTTCTTTTCTTTTTCTGAAGACTTATTTATTTGAAAAGCAGAATTACAGAGAGGGAAAAGAGTGAGAATGCTTCTGTCTGCTGTTTACTGCCTGAATGGCTGCTCTGGGCAGGCTGGGCCAGATTGAAGCCAGGAGCCGTTAGCTTCATCTAGGTCTTCCATGTGGGTACTTGGGCCCAGATGCTGGGGCCATCTGCTGCCGCCTTCACAGATGGATTAGCAGGGAGTTGGATCGCACAGTGGGGTCCTGGCATTGTAGGCTGTGACTACCCACTGCACCACCACATTGGGCACCAAAACTGTTACCACTGGAACATTGTTTGCCCTTATAATATCATTCCAGTGTGTTATTTAAATAATACATTTCCATTTGCCAAGTTACTAAGTATCTTTGCTACCAGAAAATAGACTTTGTTGTCAAGCATGAATCATTTTGTCTTTTAATGTTGTTAATATTGTCTCATTGGATATAGTTCCTAAGAATTATATACCCATATTCATTTTTGAGCATTGTTGTTAATATAACTAAGATTTGACAAGTATAAGTAATCTAAGGTGCTTTGGAGGGTTATACAGAAAAAGGCAAAACAGGCTTGTATTTAGGAGCTTTGTCAGAGAGGTGTTTCAGAATTTTTAAAATATACATTAAACATTGTCTCAATATTTTTTATGTTCTTATTTATTCTCAAGTTCCTCTTATTTAAAAATTGTTTTATACTTAAGAGAGAGTGAGAAAGATAGAGATTATAAGGTGCGTTTTTTTTTTTCCTTTCAGCATTGTTCTAAAATATGGTACATGAAGGATTCTTATTATGGACTGTTTGCTTAGGATCAAAGGACAGCAAGACTTTTGGAAAGTAGGAAAAGTAGTTTAGAGTGGTTGAAAATATATGCCAAGCATAAATAAGTAGACTTTTGAAACAGAAAAGAAATAAAAGTGAAAAAGTTGAGTTTAAACTGGTTATAGTATCAATGGTAGTCACTCAGTCTTTATATTTAGGTTTTAAACCTCAACAATAATGGCATATGACGACAGCATACTTTTGAATGGTATTGCTGACAGACAGGTTCTTAGCCCGTATAATCTCAGCCTTACATTAATAGAGAAGGAATTGTGTTTACATGCAGAGTATTGTCATTTTATTTTTAATATACACAACTGTATCTTAAAAGCATGTAAGTGAAAAGGTAGTTAGAAAAAGCAGTGTTCTTTCACCTAATAATAAGCTAATAGAATATTCCTTTAATTCTCCACAGTGGCATATCAGAGTATATGAAGCAGCCATATATTACTTAATGTGTGTATTTTCACTTACTTGACCACTCACATTTAACCTGTAAAACTCAAGCTAAAGTTGCATCTTTTGGCAAGTTTAAACTAAAGGTATTATAGTTGCTAGTTCTAAGGATTTTCTTTTTTCCTAACTATCCTGCTTGTAGTTTCAAAATCTGTATTTCTACTCAGCTGTTGTATTATCTCTTTTCCATTTCCTCAGTGACTGCTGTAGCAAGAGACATACTGAATTCTTTCTTGCTTGGCCACAGTTTAGATTATTGTTTGTAATGTACATCCCAAGACTCAAAAGTAAACTTAAAGCTTACCTTGCTGTTGAGGTTGTACTTTTTAACAGTTATGTGATATTTTATATTCTTTTAAAATAATTTTATGTTTTTTCTAATAAAGAAAACACTCTTCCCTGTGAATAGAACTCTTAGGTGGGAAAGAATATTCCTAAGGGGGAAGATTGTGGGTGGGGGCCATGTTTCTGCCAAAGGAGATGTTACCTCCTAAAAGAGCTGTTAGCACTGCCTCTGATGCCACTGTGTCCTACATTCTCAACACTGGTCTATTCATATGAGTGATTGGGCTTTTCTCCTGATTATCATGAAATATTGAGTTACCTTTAAAGTACACCAGATAAATGTTATCATCTGTAATAGAGGGGAGCAAGTTCTGTAGTGCTCCTCTGATTGAGGTGTTTCTATGTCATCTTTGCAAGTCATTATCAACATTAAAAAAAAAACCTTTTAGAAAAAGAGCTACAACAAGTCTTTTTCTTTAGATAATTGTTTTTATTTTTGAGGATTTTTACATAGTTAATTAGGATACAAAAGGTCAAGGGCTATAGGAAGGTGGGTGAGACCATTATTTCCATTTTCTTCCTTTCTGTATCTTGGGAAAGAGGGGAGGTAAGCCACAGCCACCCAATACTTTTCCAGAGCCCCCAATGTGGGGCATGCTCCGAGGGTCCTGTTCTACAGGTTTTGATAGTTCAACAGTTCTTAATTACTGCTGATCTCGCCACTTCAAGCATGATGAGCTCTCTCCAGAATCCACTGGTTGACGTAGTCCACCTTAGAATTTCTGTTTGCCCAAGTATTCACTGCCAGCTCTTGGTTGAGGTACTTGCTCAATTTCTTTTGTCCTTTGTCATCTATTGTGGTACCAGGTGTCCTCTGCAGGCTCCAAGATACTCCTTGCTTAGATATGCTGTCCATTGCTCTATCTAAGCCACTGAGTACAAGTCTTTACTAAGACCTACGTACTAAATTTAAGTGGGAGCAATGTACAATGTAGAAATCTAAATATTTTGTAAAACTAAAAATTGCTGCAATTAGAAGCTTGGGGGCATCAATTAAATGTTAGCTGGGATAAAGGAGCAGTCAATCCACCAATTCTATTTCTGTTATTTATGTAATTTAACATAAGCAGTTTACATACACCTATAGAACTTTGCAAGTTAAAACTGCTTCGATGCCCTCCTCCTGCATTTAAGATTCATGACGTTTCTGTAACTAATGACAAATCTATCAGGACTTACAGTTTTATTGGAAAGTTTTTCTTTTTTCCATAAGAACACTGAGTTGTATAATTCAAGACTTCAAAAACATGCATGGTGTTCAAATAGGAACTAAATCCTTGCATTGCAAGCACTGGGATCCCGTATGGGCACCAGTTTGTATCCTGGCTGCCCCACTTCCCATCCAGCTCCGTGCCTGTGGCCTGGGAAAGTAGCAGAGGACTGTCCAAAGCCTTGGAACACTTCACTCACATTGGAGACCTGAAAGAAGCTCCTGTCTCCTTACTTGGATCAGCATAGCTTTAGCCATTGTGGCCACTTGGGGAATAAACCAGCATATGAATTTTTTTTTGTCTCTCTCTCTCTTTGTAAATCTGGCTTTCCAATAAAAATAAGATTTTAAAATAAAATAAAAAATAATAAAAGAGAAAGTTGGTAGGTTATTCGCTTTCCATAAGGTTAGGTCTACCTTTTAGATCATTGATTTAGCCTAAGATTAAGTGTTTGCTATGGTATGTGCAAATTGTCCACAGGAGATAGGAGTGTAGTTAGTGTAACACCTGCTGATGTGGGTGTGGGGAGTACCCTATTCCATTGTGGGAGCGAGTGTAGACTAGTGTAGCCACTATGGAAGTCAGTATGAAGAGTTTCCGGACAACTGAAAATTGATCTACTGTATGACCCAAATATCCTACTGGGAATATATATAAAGGTAATAAAATATGTGTATAAGAAAGTGACCTGCAACCCTGTATTTTTAGCAGGACAGTCTACAATGGCAAAGATATGGAAACGACCCAGATCCCCATCCAAAAAGGAATGGATAAAGAAATGATGGTACAGATCTGGCATGGTAGCCTAGTGGCTAAGTCCTCACCACTGTGCCAGGATCCCATATGGATGCTGGTTCAAGTCTAGGCTGTCCTACTTCCCATCCAGTCCATGCTTATGGCCTTGGAAAGCAGTTGAGAATGGCTCAAAGTCTTGGACCCCTACATCTGTGTGGGAGACCTGGAAGAAGCTCCTGGCTGCTGGCTTTGGATTAGCTTAGCTCCAGCATTGTGGTCACTTGGGGAGTCAATCAGCGGAGGAAGATCTTTCTTTCTATATCTCCTTTTCTCTGTAAATCTGACTTTCCAATAAAAATAAACACATCTTTAGGGAAAAAAAGGCTATTGGGTATCTACTCAATGGAACAATATTCAACCATTAAAATGATGAAATTCTGCCATTTACAGCAAAATGGTCCCTACTAGAGACCATTATTTTCCATGAAATAAGCCAATCCTAAAAGGATATGATATGAACATATGATATATGTTCTCTCTGATGTAAGACAACATTCATACAAAATGCAAAACAAATGTGTGTGTATATATAGGAACACGTTTATATGTATATTCATGTAGAGGTAATGTATAATGGAGACTAGCATACTGGGAAGTGAAGATTCATTACAGTGTATATATCTCTACTCCTGAATAAAAAGAAGACTTCAAATGAAACTGTTAAATGTATCTTGAAAACACGATACCAGGTTTTCTAACATTGTCTATGCCTATAATACCATGACACACTTAAATAACAGAGTTTGTGACTATTGTTGAAGCACTATACTGCTATAATAATATGGAGGAAAATGATGTCTGGGGGCAATCAGAAGGAGGGGTGGGAGCATAGAGGGGGAGAATCCCTATATGTATAAAACAGTATTGCGGAAGATAATAAAATGAAGAGGCATTTTTAGTTATTAATATTATGACTTCAGTATGTATTCCAGATTTCTTGTTCATCTGAACATTAACATAGAAAGGAAAGAATGACTAAATGTTGAATTTTTTCAACAGGTTGTATCAGTCAGTGAAAATTCTGTATTCCTTCGGCATTTTCGTGACATATTCAATTCAGTTCTATGTACCAGCAGAGATCATTATCCCTGGAATCATATCCAGATTTCATGTTAAATGGAAACAGATATGTGATTTTGGGATAAGAGCCTTCTTGGTTAGTATTACTTGTAAGTATCACTACATATGTATAATTCTTTTACTGTTGAATTTCTTAAAGTGCAAATGACTTTGAATAGTTTTTAAAAAGTTTTATTTACTTCCCTTGAATCCCCTTTTGCTTAAAATTATGTTTTCTTGTATGTTAGAACAGCATAAACAGATTCTATGACACTTAAAAGAACTATTAAAATGTTTGAAAATGATATTAATGGCAGTTAAAATCAGCAAGTTCTTATATTTTATTTCTCTTTTAGTTTTTCTTAGTACTTTTTTGGAAATGTTTTTGCTAACTTTTGCATGTTTAACAGTTTAATTCTTCATGACTATCTGTAGCCAAGTGTCATTTTGTTTTGAGTTTATGTTTAATAATTCTAATGGCTTATTTTTATTTGAAAGGCAGTATGTAGTTTCTTAATAAGATGTCACATTTAAGATATGTACCAGGTGGTGTTATGGAGATTTGACTTTGTTGAAGTGGAAAGAATATGAGTTTAGTCCATATTCTGAAGACTAATGAAACCTTTGTTTGGAAAAAATTTTAAACTATTTTGATATTATTTTTATTAATATTTTGATGACTGGACTGTGTATAAGTCATTACAGTAAATGTTGTTTTATCTGTAACCATAAAAAATGTTCTGAAAAAATGTTCTGTTTGAAAACCAGTTACTAAAATTCAATTGAAGAAGTTGAGAACCATGCTAAAAATGATCAGTCTTTTCCATACTTTGTCCATTTCTACACACTGATTGGCAGTATTCTTTTGGAGCCACATATCTGTTGAAGCACAGAAGTGGTCTGTGTTCTCAGAAGTCAGGGGCTTTTTCACTGGAGTTTATAGTACAGAGAACTGCATGGTTTTCTTTGCTGCTGATTTCCTTCAGTTAAAAATAGGTAAAGCACTTGACCATATACAGAAATTATAATAATTATAGCACTATGCTTTGGTTGAAGAGAGCAGGAACTGTGTGGTACTGCTTCTTACCTCATTGCACATTCAAACTCTGCTGAAAATTTGGTATACCTTCCTGAATTGAACTAAAAGTCTACTGATAGTTATGGCAGGACTGTTTTTCATTCTGTCCTGCAAAGCACTGGAAAAGATTTGGGGTCAGTCTGTTTCCTGAAGAATGTGTGTGGACAGCCGAGAGGGCTTTGTTCTGTTCATAGAGCATGAACAGTCGAGTGGCAACTGCTGGGTTTGCATTGACAATAGAGTATCTTTCAGAGTCCCTTAATCCTCATGAATCCTGAGTGCAAGTTTGTTATATTCTAAAGTAGTGAGCCTTTCATCTTCTAGTATGTTGCTCATGTCTGAATACTGTTACTTGAAGCATATCCAGATGTCTTGTGATTGGAACTCAAATGATTGAAAAGATGAGAGTTATGCTCTTTTAAATGTTCCTGTAGACGCTTAAGTGATTATATTTGCATCTGACACATGACAGGTATGTGTAGATAGAAACTGGCCGAAGGTCACCATGGACATTAATACCTTACATTTTATGTGCAAACCTGTACTGTGAGCTGGCAAATTTTGAGTTATTTTAACACCAAGACAAATGTTTCAATTCCAATTATGCTTGAATCTATAAAATATGTTAAATACCACTTATTTCAGTTATTGTCCAAATTGAGGATTTTCTCATTTGAATAATCACAAACTTTTAGAAGTTCATAGTAGACAAGAGAAACCACACTAAAATTCATCCTTCTTTTAAATTAGTTACCCTTGCAATGAGAAAATGTCATTCTGTAGCACAGTGTTCTTGGATCAGTAGGTGTGTGGAGTTGGTTTTGATGATATAATATCAGCTTTGCTAGCTTTGCCCGGTTGTACCTGCTTTAATGTTCATATGCAAGCAATGGAAGGAAAATAGGTTTTTAATTTTCATATCAGAGGAATTTTATGGTTCAAGATATGGTATTTTTTCTTTATAATTTTGGAAAATACTGAATAAACTTAATTACCACTTGGTGGATCTACTCATAATGCCTATCTAAATGATATAGGACTATCTTTAAAATAATCATATACTGAATATTTATAATGAATAAGCTGTCATTACCTTAAACTGTTCTCTTATTATTTCTCTCCTTCTGGTTTTTATATTTTGAATTTGACTAAAGTATATAATTACCCCCCCTTTTTTTTCTCTACTAAAGCCAGCGCTAAGTAATATATCTCAAGCAATTTTTATTACCTATTACCTCTTGATATACATTGAAAGTATCTTTTTATCTAATTGAAATTAGACTCCATAGTTATGAAATATTAATAAGGGCACATTGTATTATGGTGGATAAAGCTGCTACCTACAATGCCAGCATCCCATATGAGTCCGTCTTACTTGTGCCCCACGTGTTCCCCTTCCAGTCCAGATTGCTGAAGCCTGGAATAAGCAGTGGAGAAAAGCCCAAGTGTTAGAGCCCCTGCCACCATAATGGGAGATGCTGACAGAGCTCCTGGTTCCTGGTTTCAGACTGTCCTGGCACTGGCAGCAGCCATCTGGGGGGCAAATTAGCAGTTGGACCCTCTTTAGCCCTGAATTTTAGAATAAATACATATTAAGAAATATAAAAAAGATTTGATAGATGAAAATTTACTGCAAATTCTAAAATTTTGTGGTATTGATCCATGTCATTCTCTGTTTTATCAATGACCAGGTATATTATTGAAAAAAAATGAGGGAAAATGGATTCCAAATAGAAAATATCTTCGGGTGGAAGGTTGCAGTCATATTTGACCTGACCTCTGTATCACTGTCTACTATGAACATGTGGAAAAATTGCTCCGTGAAGTGAAAAGTCCTAATTAAGTTTGAGGATATGCTTTATAGTTCCCTGGAAATAAATGTTTACAGGATCTGCCAAACAAGGGAATCGGCTTTATGAAAATTTCTACTATTAGAATTGCAGATTCTTAGTCAATTCGTTATTTAACTAAAGAGTTACTTTAGTACTTTAATGAAACTATAATTATAATTTCAAAGAATGTTTAAGGCATTGGTATTCATCTTCATTGGAACTGAAAATTATAAATAATAACTCTGGCTCTGTGAAACACATGGGGAGAACTTAGTTATACTGAATCAGTCCTGCATCCTTTTGGAAAATGTTAGCAGTCAAAGAAAGAATAGGCAAAGAAGAAGCAACGAGTAGGAAGAGTAAAAAGCTCATAGTATATGGAGAGGGAAAAAAACCTGGAAAACCTAAAATGAACAACTACACCACAAACAGCTAAATTACAAAGAGGACATTGTACATACATATATAGAAATATATGTGTGAAAAACAAACACAGAATTAAGACAAAGCTAACAGGATATGAGAAAAATGATAGCCATGGCATTGCAGTTAAGGAAGGCCAAAAAGTGCGTAATTGGAATTCCAAAAGACAGTAAAAAGAAACTGTGATGTCATTGGTGGCAGGGATGATGCAGTTGTCATACTTGCATAGGAGCAAATCCAACAGTTACTTCTGTAGCCATGCTAAACCCTTGAAAAACCACTGAAAAAATCATCTTAAAGATAATTTGAAGGACTGTTGACCTTTCCCAGACTTTTGTTGGTAAGATCAAGATGAAAAAGCCAATAAAACTTGCAGAAAACCCATCAAAGATTTTGTAGGAAATGCAGCTGATATAGCAGGGTGCCTTTTTTTTAAAAAGCAACTTTTCGTTTTGAAGGAATTTGAACAGAAAAGTTGTGAGAAAATGGAGTTGCTAAAAGCTGATACTCAAATTTCTCTGATGTTAAAGCTCACACAAATAAAACACACTTGTTAAACCCGACATGAGCAGGGATGTAATACTCTGTCCAGTCGATATCCCTTATTATAATTTTACTAGTTTTTCCATTAATATCATTTTCAAGTCCTGGAAACAGTTTGAAGTCTCAGTTGAATTTAGTTGTTGGGTCTGCTTAGTCTCTTCTAGTCTTGACAGTCCTTGTCTTTCATGATCCTAATGCTTTTGAAATGCCAGTAACTGTGTGGGACTGTACAATTTACATTTGTTTGATGATCTCACTCTTGATTCAGTCAAAGTCAAGCCTTTTTTTAAAGGAGGAGGTTTATTTATTTATTTTTAAAGATTTATTAATTTTTCTTACAAACTGAGATATACAGAGAGGATGAGAGACAGAGAGGAAGATCTTCTGTCCGATGATTCACTCCCAAGTGAGCGCAACAGCCCGTGCTGTGCCAATCCAGAGCCAGGAACCAGGAAACTCCTCCAGGTCTCCCACACTGGTGCAGGGTCCCAGGGCCTTGGGCCGTCCTCTACTGCTTTCCCAGGCCACAAGCAGGGAGCTGGATGGGAAATGGAGCTGCCGGGGTTAGAACCGGTGCCCATATGGGATTCTGACTCATTCAAGGCGAGGATTTAGCCACTACGCCACTGGGCTGGGCCCAAGAAGAATTATTTTTAATAATGCAGACACAGAGAGGGAAGGATAAAACGGTATAGAGGACTCTTCCATCTGTTTCCTAAATGGCATCAATAGCCAGGATGGGACAGGAGTGAACCAGGAGCCAGGGCCTTCATCTGGCTGTCTCATGTGGGTCCAAGGGCACACATGGTTGGGCCAGTTTCCTCTGCTTTCCAGATGCATTCTCAGGGAGCTGGATTGTAAGTGTAGCATCCATATGGAGTTTAGATGCTGCAGCTGTCAGCTTAAACCATCGTAGACTCCCAAGGCTAAGCATTGTTAGCAAGCATCTCTCAGGAGTGATGGCATGCACTTAATGCATTGTATCATGGTGTCAGTAGCCTTATTGGTGATGATGACTTTGCTCACCTGGTTAGGTGGTCTCTGACATATTTCTCCATTGTAAAGTACTGCTTCTCCCTAGCTAGTTACTAGTTATCTTAGAGATACTTGAAACTATGCAAGATATCCTAATTTCCAGTTTTTTAGTTTTTTTTCCAGCTAATCTTAGTGTTCTTCAGGGATTATATGAAGTTTGATTGGTAGTGATTCTTTGTTTCCATTATTGTATTTTAGTTACTTGGAATTCTGTGAGGAACTGCTGTCTTCTGTCTCTGCCACCTCATGTTTTGTGTATTGTAAAATGAACTATACAGCAGGCAGAGTAATGCGAATGCTTTGGAAATGAACTATCCAGGTTTCTTTGTCCAGAATTGTATAGTAAAAGATTGAGAGTTGTTTATGTATGAAATTCTGGTCACAACTGAAAATTCAAGAAATGTCACCTATGGTTTCAGTTTCTTTGTTTATTTAGCTCTGAACAGAATATGAGCGATTTTCCCATAAAGCAAAGGTTTAGTAGTCCTGCTTCTATTAGTTTTAATTTACTAAAAGTTCCCACTTTTAATGTTCATGTAAGTGTTAAAACTATGCATTTTTGTTTTTTAGGTGCTGGAGCAATTCTTATTCCTCGTTTAGACATTGTGATTTCCTTCGTTGGTGCTGTGAGCAGCAGCACGTTGGCCCTCATCCTACCACCTTTGGTTGAAATTCTTACCTTTTCCAAGGACCACTACAACATATGGATGATCCTGAAAAATATTTCGATAGCATTTACTGGAGTTGTTGGCTTCCTATTAGGTACATATGTAACTGTAGAAGAAATTATTTATCCTACTCCCAAAGCCATAACTGGCACTCCGCACCAGTCCTCTCTAAATTTTAACTCAACATGCTTAGTTTCTGGTTTAAAATAGGAGAAGCAGAAAATTTCATCTGTTGGTTAATGCCAATTCATAAAGCAGTTGACATAAAAATTAATGAAATGCATTTTCATTGTCATTGTCACATACATAAAAGTAATATCAAACTATTTCCTCTTGCAACAATGTTATATTTTGGCAGTAAATGATAATCTTTGCCATAATAGTGAATTTTTTTTTTGCTGTGAATTTTTTTTATTAATTCTTTATTTTATGTCATTGGGGTTTAATAGGCGTCGGGGTTTCCCTTCTCCTCCCTACCCCTCACTGTTGTGCTCTCCAGTCTTCCAGTAGGTCAATAGAAGTAAATTGTAATAGATCCCTTTTCCTAAGTATTAGCAATAATTTTTTAAAAGCCTTGCTTTAGAAATTGAAAATATTAAAATATGAAAGATTAAGGAACAAAAATACTTCTGTTGTTCCTTCTCTCAATAAGAAATACTACAACCAAGATTTGTCTTTTTAATCCTTCCTGCTTATACTATTTTGCCACTCAGTTGAGGAAAGAACAGAATTTTAATACCAAGAGAATAATGACATGCATGTAAAAATCTCTCCAGGCCCTTTCAGCAAATGTCAAAACAAGCTTCATGTAAATGTGAAAAAAAAAACTTGATTATGTTTTTGCTAGAGACAAATACTTCTGGAAACATAGAAGAATTTCTGTGAACTATATGTAAGCATCAGAAAGTCCAAAAAAATCCAGCATCATTTTCAGACTACACAGTTAAGGTAATTGATCCCCATAGCTCTAGTCAGGAGGCACTGTGCAAGTCTGGTTTAAGCAGTTTGAATCGTATTTTCAAGGGGTCCTAAAGATGATTGGTACAGCTGCGTTATTTCTCACTGAGCAAGTGGCTGCCCAGAAAGGTGAAAGTCGATCAACACCAAGCCTTCAGACAGGAGAATCTTCTCACTTAAACTAGGGCTTTTCAAAAATTTGACATCATGGCCAAGAGAAAGAGTAACTTCTGTTCGGTTTAATTTTAATGTTGGGCCTATTTAATTACCTTTTGATACTTTGGAGAGTGGGCGGGGGCTATATGAACAGTATATATGATCTGAACAGAAAGTTGGAGAAGTGTAAGAAGCCTGAGCTGTGGTTGTATGAAAGAAACATGTTCTTTTAAACTGGAAGAAGGACCACTTGCTGCCATCACTATTGATGGCAGAGTGTATCCAATAGCCGTTTGTTTCCTGTGCTTTCCTTATTGTTTCTTTCCTTTTCTTAGGTTTGTAGGGATTACTTTCCTTAATAGCAGAAAATAGGTATCTGACAAAAGATGGATGAATGGACTTTCGTTCCCTGTGGCTTTCCTTATCACAGCCTTTTATTGATCTGCATGGGCAGAATGAAAGAACCTTAAAAGATCTGTGCTTGGGAAAATCAAAACAGTAATAATTGCTAGATGTTGAGGCACTCCGGGCTTATTTCAATAACTCCATATTCTTCAGCCCCTATCATTAACCAAGTTAGGGTCTCAGTTGAGGAGGAAGAAATTGTCAAGTTTTAAACATTTAGGATTGTCTGGTGATTTTTCAAAAAAAAATTCATACTTTAGCACGTGAACTTTTAAAATTAACTTGGTCATATTCTAATGTGTAATATATTTAAATATTTTATTCAAATCACTGCAGTTTCAATACTCTATTTTTAAAATTTAAATGTTAGCTTAGTTCAAGTATTTTTGCTTATAACATTAACTGGTCATTAATTACTATTCTGGAGATATATCAGAAGCTTTGTTTTGGTATAAATCTGTAAGAATGAAAAGTTTTTGTTATATGTGCATTAGATCTTACCATATTGTTTGTGATAGTTTTGTATCAAATCTTTTACATTGGGAGTTTCATTTTACCAAAAGAATGTGGCTGAAGTTATAGAAAAAATTGCACTCAGTGGAATGAATATAATCTTGAATATGATAATAAATTAGGTGTCTGAAAATTTTATATTGGTATAAAGTGAAATTAAAATCCTTATTTAATAGAAGTGTTGGGTTTTTGTCAGCTTTGTTCAGATTACATTTGAATTTGTATATGTGGTTTTCTTTCTATATATTGTTTTATTTGCCTTGTGAAATTTTGCATTGTTGGTCATAGTTACAAGTAATTTTTCAATTCAGCGGAAGAACATCATGAATGTCACGTCAACCAGGCTTTATGTTAAGCAATAAGAATGCCGAGTAAACATCTAATATTGAAATTACTGAATTATCAGTGCCTAAATAAAAGAAAATGTTGAATTGCAGAAATTCTTGCTTCTTAAGACACATGCAAAGTGCACATGCACTTAATTATGGATTTTTTATTGAATGTTTTATTTGCAAAATAACCAGTGGATTTTTTTCTTTGAAGATTGCATTAGTTTTAATAAGTCATAATATTAGGAGACTTTTGAATAAGATACTTTGATTATTCCAGTTGATTGCGCCTATCTGATCTGATCCCTTTTGGTTCATCACACTATGGCCAAAATAACTTCAGTGTTTGCCAGCCACCACAGTCACAGACTTTTCTCTGAATGTTAGTTTGTGAGTCTTTTTTGCTGAATGAGCATGGAAAAGGAAAGCTGTTTGCCTCTGATGGGCCCCGGTACGTCAGTTATCACTTCCCTAGCCCCCCGAAGAATTTCATTAGAATCTGCAGCAGCTTATCAAAACACTGGTTGACAGATTTAATGAGGAGTGGGGGTAGGTTTCTTTCCCCACCTGGTCATATTTCTTCACAAAGAAGTAAGAGCCAGAACTTTTTCGTATTTCAAGACCAATGTAGATGGTTTTTATCAAATGAAAACAAGTACAACATTGGCAAATGCCATTTTATGTCTTTATCCACCAAATTACCCTTTATTAAAACTTGTTGTCCCTTGATTTTTTTTTGTGTTTTGTTTTTACAATCATTTTATGACAGTGCACATGTTGTAAATTTCCTAGCAGGATCTAATTTCCTTCACTACTGTCATAATAGTTACATAAAAGTTATTTAAATGCAAAATACCATAAAATGCTAATTTAAATAATAAAGTAGTACCATAGTGCCATTTCTGGCTATGTCAAAAAAATCATTTTACATTATCAGATGATCTATATGTTTACTGATTTATTTTATTCCTTATCTGATAATATTCATTAAGCTACTGGTAATATATAAGTAAGTTTATTTCCATTAGATTTATTTTGTGTCTTTTCTTTTTTAAATGAAGAAAAAAGTGAGGATGAGACCTAATTTGGGTTAATACCATCAATAAACAGATGCAGTATTAACACCTGTGATATCACTACAGGTAAGCTGTGTTTGTGATATTTTGGTATATAAGTTATAGTGATGCTTTCTAACATCTGGGTGGCTATACTGGTTAATTATTTTCTGACATTATGGTTGCTCTTGTTTATGCCATTTGCATTCAGTGGATTCAATAGTTTTCTGTTAGAATAAATCTGTTTATAAATATCACTTTATTGCCCTATTATAGATGAAATGATGAATGACTGTGCCTTTTTAAATTTCCTATTAAAATATCTAGATACTATTTGCATTCATACATGCACACATAGAGACAGACATGTCATGCCAGGAATCTGAATGTGAGGCCATTTAAATTGGATCAAGAGAGAAATGTTAAAAATAGCACTGTGAAACATTGTATTAAAGTTTCCTGCATATGGGCCTGGCGTGGCCTAGTGGCTAAAGTCCTCGCCTTGAATACACCTGGGATCCCATATGGGTGCCGGTTCTAATCCCGGGAGCCCCACTTCCCATCCAGCTCCCTGCTTGTGGCCTGGGAAAGCAGTCGAGGACGACCCAAAGCCTTGGGACCCTGCACCCATGTGGGAGACCTGGAAGAAGTTCCTGGTTCCTGGCTTCAGATCGGTCTGGCATCGGCCGTTGCGCTCACTTGGAGAGTGAATCATCGGGTGGAAGATCTTCCTCTCTGTCTCTCCTCCTCTCTGTATATCTGACTTTCCAATAAATAAATAAATCTTTAAAAAATAATAAGGTTTCCTGGATAACAAATAGTAAAATACGTGTTTATACCCTGAATAAATTAAGTTGTATATTTTTATCTTTTTCTAAATGATTTTTCTGGTTTAAATAAACACTAAACATCATTACACTTTATTTTTCTTTATAATTATAAAAACTTGTTTTAAAATATTGTATCTGTCCTGAATTTTCAACAAATGATGTTGCTCGCAGTTGCTTTATAAAATAACTCATCTTTTTAAAAGTTCAATTCATTGACAAACGTCATGAACAAATGGCACTAGTACAGCGTTCTAATAATAACATTTTAATCATTCCTTATGACTAATTCCTTTTCATGTTAGGAATTGTTATATATCTCAAAGATTTAAGAACAGAAGTTCATTAAAACTGAAAAGATAAAATCAAAAACATGACCTGAACTTCCTACAGACTTAATATAGGATGAGCATCCTGCATGATTCATCCATGATTTATCAAGGATAGGTACCGATACTTTTGCTTTTATTATAAAACTATAGCGAAGTTTTTGTAAAGCATCCTTGCAACCTCATATCAAAACTATAAATATATTTGTATCTGTGTCAGCAGTCCTGCTGTTAAGACTTTGAGAAAAGAACATATTGTAGTTCATTTAAAAGGCTATGTTTAAAGATACATCTGAAGCATTGAATTACCCAAAATATGTAACAATAAAGAGGTGATAAATTATTATGTCTTCACATATGGTACAGTAGAGGTTATATAAATTATACTGAAGTATTTCAAATACTAATAATTTGAGGAAGGAAAAATGAAAAATATTAATTGTAACCAAAACTATGCTTTTGGGTTAAGATAGTGGGATATACAGGAACTTGGGGTCATTGTCATGAGTATTTTCAAATGGTTGGTTAAAAGGATTGTGAGAGGAACGAAGAGAGATGCTTTGGGGAGGGGACCAGGAAATTTATAAGGCCTTGTTAGTAACAGGTGTTCCTGGCAACCAATAGAAGGCCTAAAAAGACTATATATCTACATCTGTATATCTATCTATAAAGGCTATGTATATATATACATTTACCAAATATATATGTGTGTGTGTATATATATATATATTCTAGATATTCTATCTAGGAAGAAAGAAATGTACATACAATGAAAAGCTCTATGGAATACCTGGAGGGGAAAAATTATGCTTTGTGAAGTTTATTTTGTGCTTTATTCCTTTTTAAAAATTTATTTTTATTTGAAAAGATTTTTACAGAGAAGGAGGGACAAAGAAGTCTTTTATCTACCAATTTACTACAACATGGCCACAACAGAGCTGAGTCAATCTCAAGCTGAAAGTCTGGGGCTGTTTCCGGCTCACCCACATGGGTGTAATGGTCCTAGACTTAGACCATCCTCCATGGTTTTCTTATCCACAAGCAGAGAACTGGATTGGAAGTGGAGAATCTAGGACACAAACCCATGCCCATATGGGATGCCAACACTGCAGGTAGAGGACCAGCTTGATATGCCATGACTGGCCTCATTGTGCCTTATTTCTAAATAAAAGGTTAGAATAGTGGTTCCTAACAGAATGCTTACAAACATTTGTGTATAATTATGGGGTTCAGATTTCAAGGAGCCAAACTCCAGAGGAAGGGTTTCCTGGGAAAGTCACATCATTTTTTGAAGAACAGATTTCTCTCAAGGTTTCCTTGTTAATGTGTGTTTGATGGCTTGAAATGTATAGAGGGAATTGAATCTTTAGTTTTTCAGATGCTTTCAAACATGGCACCACTTGTGCCAAATGGTATAACACCCAAACTAAAACTACTATATTAACCGTGTTGAGGAATTGGGAAGTAATTTTGTTGTCCTCCATTTTGGATCTTGATCTGTGTTAGAAGGTCAAGGACTGGACACAGAACATCACTATGCTGGGTGAGGAGGAAAGATCTGCTGGGTATGTGTCAAGGTTGAGCAGGTCTAGAGTAGAACAGGAAAGCAGGCACATGAAGAAACACAATGCAGAGATGAGCAGCTCACTACCTGATTTATATATCTTTGTAGCTCTGGTACCTGTACCTTACTGTTCTCCACCAAAGCAATGAAGAGGTACTTGATAGTTGTGTGTAAGTGTGTGTCTTCTATATCGTTCATTAATGTTTTCTAATTTTCACCAAAGCAATTTTTCATATTGTTGGTTAAATTTGTCTCAAGGTAGTTAAATTTGGAATGGTGGAATAGACTAATAACCCCCAAAATTAACCCACGCATCTGTATCCAACTAACCTGTTACAAGTAAGCTAAAGAATCAATCCCTGGAGAAAAAAATCTGTTTAGCAACAAAATACTACTCAGTCATATAAAAAAGGAATCCTGTGTTTCAGAATAGATTAGATGCAATTGGAGACATTTATGCTGGGAGAAACAAGCAAATCCAGTAAGACAAAATATGTTTTCATGACTTTTAGTAATTAATATATGGAGTACAAAAATGTAGTTTTTAAGACCAACACTGACATTCTGAAATTGGATTATTGCAGCCTCTGTTGTATATATATTCCACACTTTTCTTTATCCAGTCATCAGTGGATGGACATATGGCTTGAATCATTTATAAGCTATTGTGTATGGCACTGCTATAAACATGGAAATATAGATAAGTCTGTCATATGCAAGTTTCACTTCTTTTGGGTAAATTCCCAGAAGTGGGATTACTGGATCATATGGAAGATCTATTTTCAACATTCTTTGGAATCTTCCTTCTGTCATCCATGGTGGGTGTATTAGTATGCTTCAGGACATACAGAGGTCCTGTGTACATTCCCACCAGCAGTAACTAGGCTACCTTTTTCCCCACATCCTTGCCAGCATTTATCAATTTTTGGATGATTGCCATTCTAACTAGGGTAAGGTGAGATTTTGTGTGGTTTTATTTGCATTTCCCTAATGGCTAGCGATCCTGAGCATATTTTCATGTATCTGTTGGCCATTTGAACATCATCCTTTGTAAAATGCCTGGTCATATGTTTTGTCCATTTCTTAACTGAATTGTTTTATGGTTGTTGAGGTTTTTGAGCTTTTTTTTTTTTTAATATTTTGGATATCAATCCTTTTTCAGATGTATGGTTTCCAAATATTTTCTCCCATTCTGTTAGTTGCTTCTTCACTTTGTTCAGTCTTTCCTTAAGTGTTCAGTAACTTCTTAGTTTGCTGTAATCCCGTTTTCTAGTTTTGCTTTATTTGCCTGTGCTTTTGAAGTCCTATCTAGGACATCTTTGACTAGGCCAGTGTCTTACAGTGTTTCCCCTGCATTTTCCCTCGTAAATGGTTTCAGGTATTAAGTGTAGATGTCAGAAACTTTTGAATAGTTGAGGGGCAAAAAAAAAGAGAGAAGAGTCTGTGATATTGACAGCTCCTAAATAAGGAGCCATATTCTTTTTCATTAAAAAAATGAAGCCGA